GAGCCCTTTGCAGAATGTCCATGGTGCCTTGGTCACGTCGGGTCTCGGTTTTCAAAGAAGCATGCAGGTGATTCTCGCCATTTCTCTCTATGAGAGAAGGGTTGACGGTTAGAACGTTGCTATCGCGGTTTCTAGCGTCTACGGTTGACTCCGGTTCTGCTGGGGTGGCCGATTCTGGGGGGATAACTCGTGAAGTGACAACGTGGGTTACTAAGCGCGAGAAAAACTTCTCCTCACGCTACATCGAAGTGTGTTAGAGAAGATGCCAATGGGGGTGTGTAATCACTGAAGACGGGAGAGCTCAATGTTCCGTGGGGCAATATGACTTACAGCTCCAAGTGCAGTGACCTGGCGAGAGAACCGCCGTCTGACATCCTCGGGAATGCTATCGAAGTAAAACACAAACTGTGGGAATGCCTTCCTATAGTGCCGCTGCCATTGTCGAATGGAGTCCATGGTATCCGCCGGAGCCTTCTCGACTCTCACGTGCTTCACTTGCGGTTGGCGTTCCTTCTCCCTGGCTGCGACGAGCCTCTTTTCAAATGCACTAGGGTTACTGTTGTTCGATCGTCGGGCGAAAAGTTTCGAGTCCGTGTTCGTGGTCTGGCAGGTGGCGGAACGAGACTCGTATTGCATGTTCTCAATCAATTGTTTCTTCGGCGGTGGTTGTCCGTACGGGATCTCCGTTTGAGTAGAGCGAGCTCGTTTAACTGGTAAGAGCCCTGCCCTGTGTGGAGAATTGGTTGCATTCGGCACGTTTGCGAGTGGACGACGAGTCGCCATGGCCATGGAGTTTCGTGGCGAGGGAGGTACGAAGACAGTTGCCATTGGGAAACAAGTTCCCAGGGTCGAGAACGCGTCTAAACGTTGTATAGTGACAACAGTCAAATATCAAAGAGGGGTACTCGGTCAGGAGCACGCGTGCTACACGTCTAGGGTTAGAGGAGATCAGAGAATGGACATTGTGTCCAAGAGACGATAACAAGCAGCCGAAGGAAAGAGGAATAGATCGAAGTGTTCAAGGGCGGGATGGGAAGAGAAAGACGAGGTGGAAGACCTGGAGGAGGAAAGAAAGAAGAGCAAAGCACGTCGTGTGGTGTGGAGCTTAGTTTGTTTTGGGCGGAGGCCTGACAACCAACGGCAGAGCGCGAAGCATGAACATCAACATTGCATTCTTTGACCGCGACCAAGATTCTTTTCGAGTTTCTTTGCTTCTCTGCTTCCATTCTCGGTCTCATTCTCTGGGGATATTTTGTGCAATGTTCTCTTATTAACATACAGCCGCTAAAAACTGCCGAATCGACTCCAACCTCCCCGGACCAGCCTTCGGGTTAGCCGCAGACCAGCCACCACAAAGTAATCTAGGCAAGGATAGTTCAGACATGTAGGTTTTAGTTTAGAAATTAGATAGGATAAAATAAAGGGGCACAAACATGATCTTTTGAAGCCTTATGTTATTGTACATGGGAATTTGAGGGATCTAACGGCTACCGTATACATCACATCTAATTACGCAGTGCCTCAATGTCCGCAACCTAGTAAAAGTTAGTCACGAGTGCATGCGGGGGGTTACTAGAGTTAAAACATACCTCCTTGACAGCCTCAGGGGTTAAGACAATCGGGTGTTCATCTCCGACACAAACACTATCCTCGATGCGAATTCCGATCCCACGGAAATGGGCGGGCCATCGTTCATCATTAGGAACATAGATGCCCCTGGCATGTATTAGCTTGTTTCAGGTCTGCGGAGAAAGAGGCTGGGGACGAACGGTTCAATTGTTATACATTGACCTGCTTTCAGGTCGTACCCTCTAGAATACCCGGGGCAGTCGTGGACGTCCAGGCCGACATAGTGGCCTAAATGGTGCGGGAAGAGAACATTCAGTGCCTGGTCGGAGTCAGCGGCATACTCATGGAAGGAGTTCGGATGCATACATTGCCGGAAATATCAAAGCCAAGCGACTTGAGTTCATCTTTCAACCCATTCTCGGCGATGCTATGAAGTTTGTCTAAAGAAAGTTTGGAAGTCTCGCGGCACAGAGCGAGACAGCTCCGGTGCACTTTGAGCACAGCATTGTACAGATCCCGCTGGGGATCAGAGAACTTGCCATTGACAGGCCATGTTCGAGTAATGTCGGAAATATAGCCTCCCCATTCCTATAGTTTGGTCAGTATCCTAGAGCTGTAAGATCGAGTTCAGATTAGAAGAACTTACACCACCGCCATCAACGAGAACCAAATCACCATCCCTAGAATTAAGTGTAAGCAGAGTCTCAGAATAGTTTGGAAAGCCATACGAACTTCAATACATCGTCATTTCGTGTGTAATGAATAGCCAAGGCGTTCTAGGTTCGTCAGTATCCACTTCACCTAGAACAAAAGTCGGGGAATTTACCTGGCCACCCGCGACAACGGGGACGAAAGCATTTGTATCACAACCATTCACCTTGAACTGGTACTCCAGGAAGGAATAGAGATCTTTCTCTCGGGTAAAGTCCTGTCGCATAGCCTCGGTGAAGGCTCTCCCTGACGCTTGTCCCAGTCGCCGCATCTGTACGACCTCATCCTCACTCTTGAACACCCTCATTTCATTGAGCAGATTCTTCAGGGGCTTGACTCTGCGGTGGTCGACGACCTTCTTCAACTTTTCCGACGCGAGTGTTGGTCCATACAGATACCGATTCAAGGATGATCTTGAGCCATCAAATGTCGGGATATCCGAGTAAACTTCTGTCGCTCCCTGAACAATACTCGGCAAAATATCTCCAATGCGTTCGATGTTTCCTGTCTGTTCTCGGTGTCAGCTCGACGGTTCACCTGATTAAACCAAAACTCCGTACCTCATCCGCATTGAAGACATCCACAGCAGCCTGGGTGCCGGAGCGCGCCCCATCCCAGAGTTCTGCCTTGGGATCCTTTTCCCGCACGTATAAATGGAAAATATGGTTATCGCCAGAGCCGTCGTTCCCAATGATCGCCAATGCATTCGGTTCGTTGAATCCTATCCGGCGTGGAAGTGTTTAGCGGGTGTCCTCCGCAGCATCACGAGCGTGCCAAGCAAAACTTACCCGTCAGGTAAAAGAAATTAGAATCCTGGCGATACTCATTGAAGATCCCTTGGGCACGGTACTTGACTTCCGAGGCAGCCAACACCGCAATCGCGCCTTTGGGTAGCTTGTTGGCGAGCTTCGATCGACGTTGTGCATATTCAAGGGCGGTTATTCCGGGAGTAACTACACAACAGACGATCAGCGAAATACAAGACTCAAGGACACAGATAATGACAAACGTTCGCCTGGGCTGAGGATATGAGGATGCGTCTCATGCAACGGTTGGCCGAATCTGAGTTCCGCGGCGGCCACCGAGGTAGCGTAACTGCGAGACAGAGGGTTGCATCTAGGCAGTTGGCGCAATGAATGACTCAAAGGCCTAGATGAGCGCAGATTGATGGCGCACTGGCGCATAAGAGACCTGCATGCCGCCATGCTTCAAGGTCCCAAAAATAAGTGATAAGAGTAAACTGTTGGAGTCGTTGTTATCGCCAGGTTCGCGGTCCAGTCGGCGGTGTGGGCCAATCACCTCGGCTGCGTTTGGCATCGGAGACCATTTTCTTGTCCACTCCCATGTCATGTCGTATACTTGATTCTTGGTTTGATGCATCTGTGCGCAGCCTGCTATCAAGAATGTCTCGGTCTAATCTTTGTGGGGAAACCTTGCGCGGATGGACCTGCTAAAAAGGGTGTTTGAAGGCGTGCCCTAGCTCATCGGATCACCTATCTAGATTCGTCATCTATCTACGGAGTACATACTTAAATGCTTAGATCGTCGCGGCTTACTTCTTGCTTCTCTTAACTCCACACATTCTACAGACTGCCATACATCATGGGCCGAACTTTGACCTACCCGAAGAAGGTTTCCAACACCGCCAACCGGTACAAGCATCGAGGTACGAGATGACTATAGATCTACACCCAATCCAACTATTAACACTATATTCTAGCCACATATGACCTAGGTCCAATCCATTCAATCATCAATGACTCCCAAGTTCTTCATGTATCCTTCAACCCAGGCCCGGACGACCCATTCCCCGCAATCCTACCGATGATAGGACAAATGGGATCATTCGAATTCCCCTCTGCGAGCATCGATGAGCCTCTAGAGTGCTACCTCCACGGCTACGTCAGCTCACGGATTATGAACCTGGCCCGCAGCTGCAGCGATGGCGAGGGACTCCCCATATGCGTCGCAACAAGCAAAGTAGACGGGCTGATCCTATCGCTCACGCCCAACTCGCACAGCTACAACTACCGCTCTGCCATCCTACACGGCTATGCGACCCTCGTCACAGATGATGAAGAAAAGCTCTGGGCCATGAAATTGATCACGAACTCTGTCCTCGCGGATCGCTGGGATCACTCGCGTGTGCCGCCGGATCGTGCGGAGATGCAGTCGACTGTCATCCTGAAGGTAAGGATTGTGGATGGCAGCGGCAAGATTCGTGATGGTGGTGTTTCGGATGAGCGTAAGGACTCAGGCAACGCGCAGATTACTGGTAGTGTCTGGACTGGTGTTGTTCCGGTATGGGAAACGTTTGGTACCCCGGTTCCAAGCGGTGATAGTACGGTCGCTGAAGTGCCCGAGTATATTAATTCGTATATCGCTAGCAAGAATAGTCGGAACAGAGCTCTGGCGGAGAGTGCAGTGAAGGTTCAGCTGCCACCCGAGGAGCAGCACTGAGTCAGAGGCCGGGTTGGTTAAGTTCATGATGTTTTTTGAGGTGATCATAATCTACTGCTTTTGAGTATATATATTTCTTAATCTTCCAGTTCCAGTATATATTGGAAAAGAAGCCACAAGAATGTTCATTAGCAAGTAGCTGGCATTTCTAGGAACAGGGAATGAAGCAACAGACATGATTAGGATATATTGCAAAAAAGAAAGACCGTTCAGTACAAATAATCATTGCGCTAGAAATTACCATGTCCAATACAAGCAAACTAGCAATGATCAAACATGCTTCCCCACGGATCATCCTCAGACTTATTATCATCTTCGGAGACAACACCATCACGGCCAGTAGCCTGTCCTGCCGCCACCAATCTCTTAGCGACCTCATTCGCCTCAAACAGACTAACAAGTCTTCTCTTTCCGGGCCGTTGCTGGGCCCATTCCCGACAAACCCGAAGCGTAGCCATCTCCTTGTCATACGTGACCCTGCTACCGGGGATGAAGAAGTGACAACCGCGCTGCAAAGCGCTCTGACTCACAGGGGGATTAACCCGCGACCTTGGAGAACCGTCAGGCGGTCCAGAGGTACTCTTGTTGACCCAAGCGTCAACTGCCATTTCGAGAGGAGTCGTACCGGTGGCATTCTCCCGGTTGAGCATGTCAGGACGACGATCAAGGAGTTGTCCTAGGACTTGGGGGAAGCATTTCTTCACAGCATCATGAACTGGTGTGTTTCCAGCTTCGTCAAAGACCTCGAGATGCTTTTGGTCCGTGGAGTTGGCTAGGCCCAGAATGAGGCTCGTCATGGAGGTTACTATCTCATCCTCGGTCTGGGGACTCTTAGGGGGCCGAGGAATGGCCGGGTCCCTTGGCGTAAAGTCGGGTTGGGCGTGAAGCCAACGGGAAAAGGGCGTCCTTGAGCCTTTACCGGCGCGTTCCATGAGCATTGTTGGGAGGAGTTGCTTATCCAGCAGGTCTAGGAGTTTGCTGCATCGGCTGGAGTTCCTGCAGACTCGACCATTGGCTGATACGAGAATCAGGTGGAGGAGATTGCGCGCCTCTTTGTCGCGGACGGCCTGGTTGGCTCCAGCTTCTACCAAGATGCGGGCAAATCGGACCTTGTGAAGGGACATGGCCCATGCGAGAGGCGTCAATCCCTCTGTCGATCGGACTTCCAAGCATTCAGGGTGATGATCCACAAGATACTGAACTAGACGGACGGATTCGTCATTTGGTTCGGAGATGATTGCGCAGTGGATAACGAGGTTGTCTTATATGGTCAGCTATGTTCGTCAGGGTTCCTGAATAGGTGGCACTTACTTCTCTCTTGAAGCCAGGTCAAGAGTGTTCCTTCGAGTCCGAGCTTGGACTTAGTCAATCGTTTGACTCTCTCATCATCCTTATTCGAATTGAGATACTCCAAGTAATAGCGAGCAGGCGCGGTACCAAGGAAAAACTCCGTACTGGCCAAATTACCCTGACGAGCCGCAATAAGGAGAGGAGGACACTGTGCCCGCCCTCTCAACGGTTTATCTCGACCGGCATTAGCCCAATCAGCACGCTTGCTGCCACGAATCGACAACCCAGGGTAGTACTGAGGCTCTTTCTTCTCCTCAACGCAACAGTCATCACTCAATTTTGTAAGTGGAAGGCCAGCTCCAGTACTTTGAATCATTTTGGCAAGGCAATCGGTACGTCCAAGTGAGATTGCAAGCTGGAACTCGTCGACCTTGACCAAGAACTCACCTTTTACAGAAGGGTTGGTGGAGGCAAGGTCCAATCCAGTCTACAGAAGGAACTCTAAAAGAGGAATGTTGTTTGTGTACACAGCGTATTTCAACAACCCAATCTTGTTGATCGGGTTGTCTTTATTCATCCAAGTCCAATCCCGGTGCCGGTACAGCTTCGGAAACAGGAGGGCTCGCTTGTTCCAATCCTCCTTCTGGCACTCGTCGAAAAACAGGAGTACATTGAACCGTTTCTCAAACGTCTCAAGAGGGGAAGTATTGCTCTCGACTTGAGTCATAACTTCACCGATGTTCTCGTGGGTGAAGGTATCATCAACAATGTGACTGACTATGTTCAAATCTTCGTTATCTTCATGAGAGTCATCACAGTCATCAGAACACTCATCGACGTCTATCTCAAAGTGCATCCGACCGCGAGGCTCCTTTACCTTGTACTGCACGTGGAGAATTCGAAGAACGGTCTTAGCGACTGCGAAATGGCCGCGCATGATGGAAATTGAAAGGGCAGACAGGCCTTGATTGTCGGTTACAGCAATCTCAAGCGGAGCGTTCTCATTGAGGGGTCCCCACATGCCCAATGTCAAGGTTTTTATGATACCAATGTCGCCATTCCAAGCTGCTTCGAAACTGTTATATCAATGTCAGTGGGATATTCTTAGGTTGTGGGATAAAAGGAGGCACATACAGTTTCAGATATCCGTCACGAGCAGAATCAGTAATGCCTGGTACATTGAAGTGGAAGTTGATCTTCCAAGGCTCAGAGGTGAGCTGTGTTCCCTCGGTCGAGACGTAGACTGGGAACTGCACGGGAATTGTCTGCGGAGGATGAAGCTCGTCCCAGGTCTTTGCATCTTTTTGTAGCAGAATGGACTCCAGCTTCTCGTAGTCGCAAATCAACTCCGCAATAAACGCCTTCTTCTCAGCCAAACCAGGAGGATCGGCCGGGGCAGCTTCAGCCCTCTTGGCTTGTTCTTCGCTCTCTCGGGTTGTCTTGCGCGCGTTGCCGAGTAGATCCTTTGCAATGACCATTTTGTAAGTGCCAGGTTGGAAATCTGACAAATATGTATCGTCATTCGGATCGAGGGGAGTCGCGATGGAATTAGCATAGGATTGGTACTTGCGCACAACCAAGAATTCACGAAGGTCACGCAAAGTTTGGCGCACGACGTCTAATACCGTCCGATCCTGGTTTCGATATCTCTCGCTGATATCGGTGTTAGGGTTTACCCCGCGATGAAGCAGATCAATGGCGAGTAAAGGGAGGTCATTCTCAATAGCCAGCAAGATTGGCTGCTTCACACAATACTTTGCGTTTTCTTCGGTGACGCCGTAGTAGGTCGTGCGTCCTCTAGATGTCGTAATAGCCTTCATAACCTCTGCGGGATCAATCTCCGGGTGGGCCCCTGTATTCAACAGCTTGGCTGCCGCGGGTGCGTTCTTCGCAGTGAGAGCAACCATCAACGCCGAGGAGAATTCTGGTGTGTAGGAATGGCCCTGGACTGCTAAGTGATTAATGGCGCGCTTTACTGCCGGCTCATCATGCTGCACGTATATATCAAAAATTCCAAATTTGTCGGATTGAGCAAGGTAGTGTAGCGGTGTCTTCTGCTTGAGGTCTGCTTGCGCTGGTGAAGCGCCGAGCTCAAGAAGGGTCTGCGACATCTCCATTGCTTTTTCGAAAGAGAGGACTTGAACGAGAACCAGGTTAAGAATTGCAGCCTGGGGTGTTTTGTCGCGCTCATTCAATATTTTGATTGGCATCAAGACATCGGCACCAAAGGATGTAACAAGCTCTCTCACGGCCTCAGTATGACCATGTAGAATAGCGAGATGCAAAGGAGCAGTCCGACTATCCCATGCAACGACATTAATGTCGTAAACATCCGGCTCGAGGTCATTCTCCTGGAGCGTATCGTACACGTTCAAATTCTTTTCGTCACTTTCGACCTTGACGTAAGAGGCAGAGGTGTGAGACATGGCATCGTCTTGGTCAATCATATCAATATCTTCATCCTCGTCTGTGCTGGGCTTGGTCTTTGACTCTCCTTTATGTTTCAGAGAATCCTGCTTCTTGACTTCTTCTTCTTCATTCTCATTGCTCTTTGTGAGTAAGATTCGAATCATGTCGACGTCTCCCCGGGCGGCGGCAAGATGGAGCGCTGTATTTCCATCAGCCATACGGGGAATCATGCGAGCACCGCCGTCGACAAGGCATTGAACGACTTCAGGGGTCGAGCATATGCACGCGAGTTGGAGTGGTGTCCGTCCAGTGTAGTCACGGCGGTCTGGATTGGTACCCTCATCCGCAAGGAAAGCTTTCACTGAGTCAACATCGTTTGCCAAGATTGCCTGGCAAAGTTTCTCGGTGCGGCCAACATAAGCCATTTCTACAATGTTGGATATTGGTATTAGTGCATAATTCAGAAAGAAAGAAACATTTCGGACAATTCACTCACCAGTCCAATCGGTTTCAGTGATCGGATTGAAACTTCCAATTTCCTGGCGGCCAGGATCATCTTTGATGAAAGTGATATGACCAGAGATATAAATCTTGCCCTCCTCGTCAGCGACCTTGACTTCCTCCTCGGTGACAGGCTTGGGACAGTAGCCACAGCAGTCGCCAATGACATATTCCGCCTCGCCGAAGAATGCTGGATGACGATGAAGATAAACTGTGCGGTCTTTGGGCTGATTCCATTGGGCGTTCAGCAACAGGTCCTTGGTGTAGAGTAGCTTCTCAATATTCCTGGCATTGAATCTCCGACCGTAAGGAATAGTCTATCAGAGGGTCAGTGATAGTCGAATGGGAGTAAGCTCGGTTGTGGTGAAGATACGAACAAAAGTATGGTAATCGGACACTTGGTCTTGCTCTTGCCATTCAGGCACCTCATCTTCCCAGTCATCCTTGATATTACCATGCAGCATTTTGCCATGACGACGTTTCAGGTACAAACTCAAAGGAGGACGACCTCGTTCCTCACGCCTCTTTTGGAGGTAGTTGTCCCGGTCGTGAGACCGAGGAAGCTTTTCCAATACTAGGAGTCGTGCAAGTCCTTCAGTTCTGGTAAAACTTCTCTCGAAGATAGTCTATCTCAAAAATTAGTTCTGAGATTTCATCCCTCTGGTCCAAGGGATTCAATTCTCACCGGGTCAATCTTCGATCTATCAAGAGCAGGCCAGAAAACCTCAAATCCTCGATGTGAATACTTGGAGAGCCGATTCTCATATGATGGTGATCTTCGAGTTAGATCAATCCGATTCACCTGAGTGATGTATGCAGCGATTGCACGTGGAGAAGCATAGACCTGGCGACCATCAAAAGCCGCGCACGAAGCATCAACGTCGAAGCCAGTGAGGATCTCAGCGACTGAGCGGTAGATGCGAAGCACGATTTGCACATGGCGGTTCGGATACTGAGAAGCAATGGTAATCGTATTCTTCGTCCGAATGGTCGTGGTCTCATAGAGGATAGTATTCTTGATCTTATCCTCGATGTGCATGATCTTCTCAATCGCTTGGTCCTCATTCAGGCCATACAAGAAGAGATCCACATCTGACGCTGGAGCAAACTCCTCATGGTAGTACTTGCGAAGGCCACGCTTTGAGTTGCGATATTTTTCTGGCACAGGCAAAAGTGAGGTGACGACAGCGCTACCAGCAGCGACCACGTTGGACCAGTCAATTTCACTCAATGAGCCCTCTGTAAAGAGCGCAAAGTTGCTCTTGAACTCATTCAAAGAGGGTACAACTGCCGCAGAACCATGTGGTTTCCGGTCTTTTGCACTCAAGGGCAAAATGTACTTCTCCGTTTGCTCTGGCGTTTCCGAGACAAGGTCCCGAGCTCGAATGGAAAGATTTGTGGAGCCGGTCTGGTCGTACAGCGGTACAATGTTGGCATAGTTATCTTGAATTGATGGATGAGAGGGGTCTTGGGCGAATTTCTTTCGCAGAACGGCGTCAAACTCGTTATATGGCTGAACCAAGTCCACCATGGGCTTCTCCGAGTTGGCGTTGACATACTTCACGAAGTCATTGTGCTTCACTGGGAGGGTGGGCAAAGAAGCCATGTTGAAAATGGTGCAAATGTAATAAGAGTGCTGAAAGGATATGTCAACTGGCAAAATGGGGAGATGAAGTCTTAAATAAAGAGGAAGCCAACATTAGAATGTTTAGGTTCATATCGTTGACATCCACTTAGCGTTAGCGTCCAGGCATCCTTAGGCATCCTTAGGCAACAGCCCCACTATTTCCACTTTCCAACCAATCGCTTTCTTCCCGTACAGCCGGATCCTGCGGGCCCGGTCTTAATTAGGCACCCGTAGCAGACGTAAATATGATCACTAGTATCTGATTTGCGAAGAGGATACTTGCTGCGAGATTAGCTGCCACGGTAGATAAATGGTCCCTCGGGTTGGGCTTTTATTAGGGAAGTCTAGCTAGCAACACATACATATTTACACCGCTAGAGAACACACATGCATGAATACATTGGTTTGTAGCAATTATGCTCGCCACCAAATTCTACGGTTTACGACTGGTTATCACAAAGACATTTATAGAATATATCGTAGTTGAGATTCGATTGAAATGTTTCTCATATCCTTGAAAATTGAATATTAGAATTGTTCAAGTCCCATATCGCCAAGTATAGCGGCATATGAATGGGAATGGTTCGAGGGCTGACTATTCTGCTTATATATAAACAACAACTACCTAGTTACTTCATTAGATATCAGCACATAGTGGTTTGTGATCACCTTCTCCCCTTGACTTCAGAATTTATACAACTAGATACGTAAGAAGGAGCTGAGCGCAGTATTTCGCACGTCACTCACATTGAGTGATGATTTTCCATATGATATTTTGAGTTATACTGACTTCTTCTGTCAAAGATCTACAATGAAATATCGAGGCTATAATTATTTTGAGCTTGTGCCTATAGAAAGCTCAGATATGCCTTCGAGCTGTATATCGTGCCTCTTTACCCTTTACCTCCCTAGGCATTTTACATGAGACAAATTCATGTGACTTTTCATGTTTCATGTTTCATTATCAAGACGTTCATCAGATAGGGTCGGATTATTATATTTCAAAGGGTCGGTGGCCATGGTAAAAAGTGGATGAGTGGTACCACTTTGGTCAGAAGAACGTTGATGCGTATGGTCCTGCTCACTGAGTGTATCATCTTGTCCCACAGATTTGTATATATGCCTCTTTTATTCCCAATCATAGGATTCAGGAGGAGACATGCAATAGTTACCTACACTTTCTTTTTTCTTTTTCAAAGCCGACATGCTACAATCATATCCAGACATACAGCTCACCTATAACATTGTATGCTAGAATTAAAACTGGTAATCATAGATCTAAGAAAGAAACATGACCAAAAATTGTTGCACTGATAGCTGAAAGAGATGATGTAGCTGAGGCAGTTGGCGGGGTTCGTCAAGTGGCATCCACGTGACCCATCCTAACCTAACTGGAGGGTCCCTAGGGAACAGAGCATGAGCCAGGGCCGCATCCGTTTTGCTTGATTTCTGATCAGAAAAAAAGATGCTTTAGACAACCGAAAGAAAATGGTATTTACTCTCCCAGAAGGATTTCTTCTGTAATGGTAGCTGCAGTGCCTCTTGTTCTAAGTATCCTATTAGTAGGGAGTACATGGCTAGCTATGGATGACATCTGATGCACACTTTCTACAACATATAGGACGTACAGGGCGCATGTCTCTTTCTTTGTTGTGCATGTATCTTGGAAACACTATTCAAAGAGTGTATAGAATGGCCGCGAGAATTACACTCAAAGAGGTATAACTAAAGTTCAACCATTCATGTAGCACGATATAGATGTCTACAGCAACACAACACTACAATACTATCATGGAAAGATAAACCAATTATGTTCTCAATTATATACCTTAGAAGTGTATCGACCTATCGCAAGTCATCGTCATGGCGCCGGGCCCCGGCAGGCGCTGACTCATCGACTCATCACACGGGCAGGTCCACTGTCCGCGGGCCCGATCTAATGGATCATTCATCCAAGACCTCATTCTCGTCTCTTCTTTCTACTTCCTTCGCTCGGGTCTGAGAAGTGAAGCCCTCTCTGATATCTGTTATCCCTCTCACTTTGCTTCTACTTAATCACCGACCACTTAATTACTTAACATCTATTTCAAAGGCCATCGTCTGCCCCGCCCATTACTTCCCCGCTCCGCCTCCGGGTCTGCTTGCGAATCACGGCATTTGACACCGCTGGGCCTATTTTTCTCTGTGAGAGCCTGCAGCTGATAATACCTTCGAGATCGACAATACTCCTTCATTCAAACCGCCAACATGAGTAGCCCAAAGCGCAGAATCGAGACAGATGTGAGTAATGTTGCGGATCGTCCGATAAGCCCCCAGAGTCGCCGGAGATGCTAATAACGCCTTTTTTTCATCATATAGGTCATGAAGTATGCTCTACAAGTTCAGAAATGTTCAAAATACACGGCACTAACATTCTCGCTAGGATGTACGACCGACAACTCCCTACCCTTTCAAATTCGCCGCCGCTTCTCCGAACGTTTTTGATCGGCCTCGGCAAGCATACTTGGTTGACGGGAAATATACTAACGGTTAATCTAGGCTCATGAGTGACTATGAGGTGACACTGGTCAATGACAACAGTAAGTTCTGGCCCTCTGTCAGCTATAGATCTATACTAACTCCGGACTCCAGTGTATGTACCTAACACACCACAATAAACCATTTGAAGCTCTCCGATACCAACTACTCGCAACAGGCAAGAATTTTACGTTCGTTTCAAGGGCCCGGAAGAGAGTATGTCTCACTCATAATCGACCGGTATTAGATCATACTAACCTTTCTAGCACCATTTACCGGAGGCCTTTGGAAAATTCACGTCGAATTACCTGATCAGTACCCATACAAAAGCCCGAGCATCGGATTCGTCAACCGAATCTTCCACCCAAACATCGATGAGCTGTGAGTCAAGCGTGGTCTGACATGTGTGGAAATGAAACTCTTGAGGTTAATGCGATTCTTCTGCTATAGTTCGGGCTCAGTCTGTCTCGATGTGATCAACCAAACCTGGTCGCCGATGTATGACATGCTCAACATCTTCGAGGTATTCCTTCCCCAGCTCCTCCGCTATCCCAACCCTTCGGATCCTCTCAACGGGGAAGCAGCTGCGCTGATGATGAGAGAACCCAAGGCATATGAGGCAAAGGTGAAAGGTGTGTTACAACCCAAAGGCTTATGTTTGCTATTATGCCATACTGACCGCTCGCCCCTAGAATATGTTGGCAAGTACGCCAGCAAAGAGGCTGTGGATGAAGCAGGCGAGGACACCGAGTCTGAAGATGAGCTCAGCTCGGCGGGGAGCTACGAGTCTGGTGGTGAAGAGCCTGCGGGTACAATGGACGATGTCTAATGGTCTGCAGTTTGACATTTCCGTCAGGTTTAGGATCAACCCGGCACGAACATATTGCATCATCCTACTCTCTTCTATGTCCATCCCTGGATATCAGCGGGCGTTTTCTTTTTCTTCTGTCATAGGGGAGTTGTCATGTATCCATTTTCTTTTCCCTGTCAATCCCATCTTTGTTTTACCCCTTGTCATTGGCATTCAGTCCGGCATTTACGATAATTATCGGCGGAGTCACAGGTTGAATAATTGATGCCGATCTCTCATAAGTATGGGGAGTGAAATTCTTTATAATTTCCCATGATATCTCAATTGTATAGTAAGCTGAAATACTTTTTGTATAAAAACCGATCCCACCTAAAGCTGAACTTCTATATGGGTTGAGATTCTAGAAGGATTATACTTTCAGCATCTACGTAATCCAGATTTCCTGAGACTCACTTGACAGAATCCAAATTGTGTGTCAATTCAGAAAGAATAAAGTCCGGCACTCAAAAGAGAACTACATATACAAGCAGTGCACGACGAACAAGATGATATGAAGACAAAGAAACAAACTCGGCAAATAACAAAACATGCCAACAGAAAAGAAGCCAACATGGGGTGCAGAAAAGAATCTGATAATAAAAGAAAGAGTCTGCGCCAATGGGTATTATCAGGCCAGGAAGAGAGGAATGGATGGCTATGTGCGAAAGACAGTCGACCTGCGATCAATGCAAGAAACAAAAAACCCCCAAAAATAACAGCATGGCGCAAGAAAATAACGAAACGGGTCTTCCAGTACCCTCATCTGCATCCTCGATTTAATTTTCACCAGCCCACACCCTCGTTTGTCGTGTACATCGTCATCGTCAATGTGCAGCGATGCATGCCCCAAACGCATCATCTTAGGTGACGTTGAGAACCCCAAAAACATCATGGTTGGCTTTGGAATCCGTTTTGATATTGGTACGAGACCGTTTCTTGTTCGGGTTCACGACAACTTCACCCCAGTGTTTCGGGACGGTGCCTGACGAGCCAGAGGTGGGACGGCTTGGCGGTGATGTATGGTGGGTAGATACCACAGGTGTTGTTGTATCGGTCCTTTGTGATGGGACGGGAGATGCAGAGATAGGGGTGTGGAGAGTTGCTTGGGGTCGAAGGTGTGGTTGTGGTTGGATGGACCAGATATCGATGACAGAGCTAAGAGACACGATTAGCATGAATTCAATTCCAATCCGAACAGAAGGCAACTAGGACAGTATACTCACTCAGATGTCCGCTGGCAGATTGATTCCAGCGCCTCCCTCTCACGCCTCACATATTCCGAATCTGGCTGGCTAGCCTGATGAGCATGGTTGAGTGCTCCGTAGCCATACCCAGCCTGATAAGGATCATCATCGAGTAGACGTTCAGATTCAGGCTTGAAGAAAGAAATGTTAGACAATTGCACTCTGCGACTAGTACCCCCACGCATCGTGCATTAGACCGAGGTAATGCGCGATGAACATGGTAACGGGAAAGAGACTAGCTTCGGATTTGGACTCACCTCAGGAGAGTCGTGGCGATTCCCGCCGAGGCAGGAGGCACAGATACCCATTTATGAGGATTGGGATCGAGTACTAGTCGGGGGATATTCTTGGCTGCACGTTTGCGCTATGCGATGGGCACGAGGCGTCAACCAACCCAATAGATAAGGTGCAGGTACCCTTTGTCGGACCAGCGAGGGAATGATCGGAAGGTAAGGAGTGTGGAATACGCAGAAAACAGAGAATATGAAATGAAACAAATGGCGCAGTAGAGAGTCACAAAGTAGACAAAAGGCCTTCAAAGTCGGAAGGTGAGGGCCGTGAGGCTGGGCGGTCCGTGCCATGTCATCAGGCCGGGCCGTAGAGCGGCGTGAAACATCGTTTTTCTCGATTCGGGATTTTAGTCTTATTCCTCTCCACGCACACCACACAATGTTCGATCTACCAAATGCTAAGCGGTACGTGAGCAAATAATCCACCCGGGTTTTTCTCGATATAATTAGCGGCTAATCCGGCTTATACAGCGTCCGCCGCGATGAGATGCGCTCTCCAGCGTCATCCCGCTCACAATCACCAGCACCAGACGACGACGCCGCCCAGGATGCATACGCCCGCCTTGGAAAGCTACTCAATTTAAATCAACTGGATACTGCACAGCAGACAACTAGCCAAGAGAACGATCCCTCGCAAGCGGCGGATAATGAAGACGAGGAACAAGAATTCGAGTTCCGGCTATTCAGCGCCCCTGCCAAATCAACGAAAGATACCACCGAGCAGTCAGGAAAAGATACAGATGAGAAAACCGCAGAGGCCCCCACAATCCAAAAATTGAGGATTCGGTTGCATTCACCTACACCCGGATCTGGCGCTAACACTGAGGGACGATTTGTGAAAGCCTTCCGTGGGTGGGATTATTACTTCTCTACACCTTCTCTTCAAGGCACGAGGAACGGGGAACCTACCGCCGAAGACGAAAGCCGGATAGCGGAAAAGAAGAAACAATTTGAGGACGTGGCCGTTAGCGGGCAGCACATGCTGACATGGGCCAATTCCTTAGTCTGGGTAAGGAAATCCATACCCGTCTGGCAAATTGTCTAGCTGCTAACTTAATTTCTAGCCCGGCTGCCATCTCCCCTGGCGAGTTATCCATCTCAAGCGACATCAGACCAAAATGCCACGGCCAGCCAACAGTCTTCCAGTCTACGTGGTAGAGGGTGCACCCGTCTCTAAGAGTCCACTTACACGCAAGAAGCCAGGCAAGAAGCGACGAGTGCAGCTACGTAAGCGCGTTGCGGCCGCACAGGCTGCTAAGGAAAATGAAGCAGAGAAGCGGACTCGGAAGAACCGCGATAGGAAACTCAAGCGCAGACAAAAAGCGAGAGAGCTGAAGGCTGCAGCGGCGGGTGTCAGTGTTGAAGATGTCGCTATGGCTGATGGTGATGATCATTCCTCAGACGGGAATGAATGAAACTGTTCAGCATTAGCATAGATTCTTAATGTGATACCCGTGGGAGAGTTGGTTTTTTCTTCTCTGCTGTCAGCATTAGTAGCATAATATACCAGATTAAGGCGGGGGTTTTACTGTCGCGTAATGATTCTGGAATGAATGAGTAGAGCTTTGCATGATATTAAGCGGTCTGATCGAGGCCGATATGGAAGAAAAGAAAAACAGCATGCAACGCATCGCTTTCTGAAAGTGATTAATACACAACGCTGAGGGTATGAAACGAAACAGGGAGCAGGAAAAAAGCACTCGCAAGTTAGATCAGATTCGCAAAGAAAGGTCCATTCTGGCCAATGAAGTGGATATACACACTTCTAGTTAGCGGGCGCATCTAACATCGGTATTAGCATTATTCTCTGCATCGTGAAGACAATTTGACTAACCGGTCTTGGCGGCAGGCTCCGCAGGCGCAGCAGTAGTGGCCTCAGGTTTAGCAGCGGACTCTTCGACCTTAGCAGCAGTGGCCTCGGGGTTAGCGACAGGCTCCTCAGGCTTAGCGACAGGCTCCTCAGGCTTAGCGACAGACTCCTCAGGCTTAGCAGCAGGGGCATCGGACTGCACAGCAGGGCCGGGGGCAGCAGCAGCGGCGGCAGTCTCAGGCTCGTACTGAGTCTCGATGGGGCCGGCGGTAGCGGTCATCTCAGGGGAGGCGACAGGCTCCGCGGTGCTTGCATCCTTTACCTCGGGCACCTTGGCAGCATCTAGAGCAGGTCAATTAGTCAGTTGGGAGCCAAAAGCGAGACGGAGGTGATATCAAATTGATAGAATGTCATACCTGGGGCAGATTCCGGGGCGGCAGCGGGGGCGGTGGGTTTCTCGGCAGCTGTCTCAGTGGTCGCAACGGCGGCGACAGGGGCAGCAGTCGCAGCAGTCTCAGCAGGGGCAGCCTGGACAGGCTCGGCCTTCTGCTTCTTAGCGGACTTCTTGCGGAGGCTGAAGAACCGCTTGAAGCCCTTCTTGACCTGCTGAAGAGCGTCGGGTGCTGGAGAACGTTAGCGCTGTTTACTTGTGGTTCCGACGGGCGCCAAATGTTGGGTCGGGAAGTATAGGAGGTAGTTATGGTCACTCACGAACACCAGGCATTTTGATCAACGCGTTTGAGATTGGATGAGACAGATATTTGATAAATGTGAATCAAGACCCGATGAGGAACGTGTTGCGAATCGAAAAGGAGGAGAAGCGCGCAGTCGATCTGTTTACTCCCACGTGACTGCCCCCATCTATGCCTGTTGACTTGCCGTTTTTGTTATTTTGGGGAATTGCCTTTCTCGTGCGTTGTTTCCACTGTGTCGAGGACGCGCTTTCATTGGCTGACTGCGATATAAATGGGTCCTATCCCGCTGCTTATCCTCTGGCAGCTCTAGTGATTGTGGCTGTGCCAGCGCTAATTTGCACTTTCATTTTATTTTTTTCTGAAACAATCCGTCTATTTAGTTTCATATAATTAGCGAAAAGGGGTAATACATAGCTCCTCCGAGTACTCCGTACTCCGTATATCAAATGAGGAAGACTGAATTATTCCATTGTTATAGATCTAGAGGTAATGAACGACCATAGGGGATGTGATGCAAGCATAAATGGTAGAGATAGGAACGAAAATAGAAGAAAAAAGAAATAAAGCCGGGGTATCAATGGTATCTGGTCCGCAAATCATTGCGCAGCGTGTGTATAACTAGAGAAATTTGAAGATAATAAGGGCAACAGAATGGCCTAATCCACCTTATATTAGCACCAATCAGTCTTGATCATGAAGAACACACCTACCCAAAATGAGAAAAATTAAAGCGATTGCAATCTTAAGGTTCTGGGCGGCGAGGACGATGAGTAGGACGGCGCAGATAGACCATGCCGAGGATCCCCCAATACCGAAACCCGGGACATGCTTGAACTTTAACGCTGCATCGTCGATGATGGATTGTAAATTGGCAGCAGCAACGCTAGTTTTGGCCAGCAAAGCTTGCGACACTTGCGCATCGAATTGAATGGCCTCCTGGGCCCGCGATTGGGCAGATAGTGCTTCTGTTTGTTGGTCCTGGGCCTTTTGTAGCTCGCTTGCTTTCGATTCGGATCTTTGTATAAAGGTTTCCATGTTTTGAAGTCGCTTTCAAAGTCAGTGAGAAAGCCGGTATGTGGAAATGTACTCGTACCTCTGTCATCCTGGTTTCTTGCTCAAGAATCATGTTCATCCGGCTGGTCAACCATTCCTACAAACAGGGGCACGAGATTAGTCTCATAGTGTCACTAAATGGTAGATGTATATTTGACACACCATAGCAGCATCGAATCTCTGCATGCCTTGGTACAATTTGTCCATGTCTGAGTCCAGAAGTGACTCGAGCGACAGGTGTAAAGATGATGCGAGATTCTTCTGGGCGACAGCATTGGTTTCTTGAACTAGCAATGTCTCTTGGCTTCTAGTCATTGCATCTTGATGTGCACTCCGTAGAGCCTGTTGAAGTGCTCCAACTTGAGTAGATACGTTCCGGATATCCTGGTTGAAATTTTTAGTACATGTTTCAACTCATTTAGCTTGCTCGAATTGTACCCCTTCGAGGACCCCAGTTCCAGCCCGCACATTCGACAAAGCCTCAGATATAGAATCTTGCAGTGACCAGATTCCAGCTTCGATTTCTCGGAGGAATTTGCCGAATGTTCGTTTGAACACAGAATCTGTCGCTTCCATATCGGTCACGATTTTCCCTTGCAGAGACTGAAGAGCGTGTATGAATGATTGCTGCTGGGCAGACTGTGCAGTTGCATTTTGCAAAGCCTCTTGAAGCCCATTGTTGAGCTTGAGACTGCTCTTGGCAATGGATCGTTGAAGGTCAATAAGCTCCTGTTTCTCAGTCTCAATTCGCGAGGCATGGCAGATCACAAGAGCATTCTGTCGGCTGTTGCTGTAAGAGGTCCACCACTGGGGTCGTGACTCAAGTGTCCTCAGACATTGCTCCAATAATTCCTTTGGAACTTCATCCGAGATGGGGTCAGAGCCTCTGTGTCGACTCACAAAGCCAAATCGATTCTTCTGTGGAGGTGGCGAGACAGTGACAGGGAGGCACGAGGAAGGCATTTGGGTACCAGCACCGTCGATCTCACACAATGCCAGGCGTACGGCATAGACGGATCGAAGAATGTCGAGAGTCTCTGGGTTATCCGTCTGCGTGCCGTCTTTGCTATCGCTGAATGTTTGGCACGAGTTCACTAGTTTTGTCGCTGCAAGCCGGTTGCACGAGGGTGAAGATTGCATCGAGTCCAGGATTTTGACAGCGTCGTTGAAGATGCTGTCTTGGTCTTGCGCCCGGGAACTGAGGAAAGAGACTGCGTCGATGTCCGGTGGTCTGGTTGCAAGAATTGGGACATCTTCTCGTGTCAGCAAAATGATTTGAGACGTGTCTGAGTGCCTTACTGTGTTGGGAGACACTTGCTCGCCCGAGGTGTGTAAGTGCCAGGAAGATATATGCAATCACTTGGAAGCGATCGGTTGCCCTCATAGTGAATGGTATGGCTGCTTCTACGAGTGTGTGTAGCTTTGGACGGGCCCTGGTCTTTGATCACTCGTGTATATTGTCTGAGACGAATGGGTATAAAGGTAGGGAGAAGGGTGGTGTAGGATGGGAAGAAATGGATGAGGATGAAGGATGATTTCGAAAGTGAGACTTGACATCCAAGTTGTTTTAGCTCACGCCCAACCCTCGCTTTACTTTTTCCTGAATAGTTTCCTCCCACCATTTAGTTACTTGTCCATAAAGAAGAAATTTCCATTCAAATACTAATGCGACCGTTAATATACGGTTAGGAGTCAGAGGGCAGTTTAGCGAACTGCCGTATAAACCGAGGATATTCCCGAGACTAACATTAGCCCGGCTGGTGTATAACGATGATGTGACAAGAAAATTGGCTGCTTATGCCTCCGTACTTTTAGTCTGTGTTAGATATGAATAGCGATGAAAAGTCCGTACATATGACAGTTCTATGCATGTGTAGCGTTGGAGATCTAGTCGGTGGCAATCTCACTATGCCTTTTGTACACAGCTACTACGGGCTGTAGAGTCTCGGCTGTGTTTGTCCTCGATAGAGATGTTGTATCTCGAAGAATGTCGGTATGTGAAGGAATCAATTTCAATTGGGACAAATTGTGTCGCTTCTCGGGTGTTGTTAGGCACTAGGTTTCAACAACCTCTGCATCAAATGAGAAATACCAAATATCAAGTGTATTTCCCGAAGCAATTAAGCCCAATATTTGATTACTGCAGTCGAGAGCATAATTAATTACGTTTAGATCATGATATTCTAGCCTGATAAAAAGAAGCAAATTATATAGATAGTCACGTGCACGCTAAACCCCTTGAGGTAACCCATCTTCGAACAAAATCCAAAGTCCGCAACGCAGCATCCGACCAAACACGCGCAAGTCACCATGTCGTGCTCCATACCCCAACGCTGCGCCCGCCAGCTTCTTCGAGAGCCTTTCCAGCGCGGCTCCCTACCCATCTTCCTCGCTCCCGCTTTCTCCCCCCGCACACAATGCTTCTCGACCACATCCCCGGCGCAGTCCCGAATCGGAGGTGCCGCGCTCTCCATCCCTCCGGAGGTGTCATTTAAGCTCATCGATATCCCCGCGACTCTCACCCGGACACGAGGAAAGGATATCCCCAAGTTCATGGCTGAGATTAAGGGTCCCAAGGGTAATGTGTTATTGCTGAATGGTCCGGCCGATGGATGCTAACTCGCCCGATTTACAGGCGAGATGAGCCTGAGCATTCCCTCATTCCTCACTATCACCCCCGATGAGACAGGCCAGAAGGCTAGTTTGTCAGTCTTGGATCAGACTGTCCCTCACCAGCGTGCTATGTGGGGTACGTTTTCCTGTCTTTTCTCCGCGGCGGTCTAGTCCGCAAGTCATCAATGTCTAACACTTTGTTTTTCTGTCTAGGAACCATTCGGGCACTCCTCCAGAATCACATCCTCGGCGTCTCCGAAGGCCATGTCTGTGTCTTGAGTATGGTTGGTGTCGGTTACAGGGCGACCATCGAGGATAAGGCGTCCACCGTCCAAGCCGCCTACCCCGGCCAAAAGTTCGTTTCCCTCAAGGTGGGCTTCTCCCACCCCATTGAATTGGGTATTCCCAAGGGTGTTGTGGCTAGCACACCGCAGCCCACCAGAATACTATTGGAGGGTGTCGACAAGCGGGTTGTGACCCAATTCGCGGCTGAAATCAGAGAATGGAGACGCCCCGAGCCGTACAAGGGCAAGGGTATCTTCGTCAACGGAGAGACTATCAAGCTCAAGGCGAAGAAGATCAAATAGACGGGAGGCGCCTTTCTTTTCAGCTACGCGGGACATTTTGTGTTTGGTTCCGTGTTTTGTACTCTTATCGTCACATATGTATTTCTTTATTCAAGCGATGGTATCACAAATCTACTTCAAACTGATCCCGCTCCCCAGGAGCTCAAGTGTAGCGGAAGAGGCGACAAAATTAAAAAATATATAAACCAATCACAGCTTCAGAACGGTCTTGACGGCATTAATGACCTGTTCCTGGTGGGCCTTGGGGGCGGCAACGACACCCTTGTTGACAGCCAAGGTCCGGCCCTTGCTGAAATCCAACCGGTTGCCGTGCATGTCAGTCACCTGGCCACCAGCCTCACGCACAATTAAATCACCAGCGGCGTGATCCCAGATCTTCTCCTGGTAGTCCTTCTTCGCGGGGAGACGCAGGTAGACGTCACCGGCACCACGGGCAATGGAGCAGTACTTGGCCTGCGAGTCCAGTCGCACACTTGGGGCGGTGATGCCAAGAAGCTGAGCAACGGCAGCGTTGTCACCCTGGGCGGAGTGCGCAGCCTCAACACCTTCACAGAAAACAGCGTCGGAGATATTCGCGACGGGGCGCATGGAGATGGGCTTGCTGGCAGCAAGAGGACCACTGGCCAGGGGACGGCTGATGGCACCCGCGCCCAGGATAGCAGAGAACAGGACACCGTTTCCGGCAGCCTTGGAATGCTGATCACCGGTGCTGGCAGCAATGGGGGCAGAACCATCGACGGGGAGGTTCGGAGTACCAATGGCACCGACCTTGACGTCACCATCAACTATCAGGCCAAGACACACAGCGTACTGGCCGCCACGGAGGAAACCCTTGGTGCCGTCGATGGGATCGAGAGCCCAGATGCGACCCTTAGGACCACCGGCACTGTTGCCGCTATCGATGATGTCCAGCATGCTCTGCTCACTGGTGAGAGGTCCACCCAGAATATTCTCGCTCTCCGCATCCTCCAGATGGGTGTCCTTGACCAAGCGCCAGATCTCAGCGCTGAGCTCTTTGTCCGCACGCAGAGTGCTTGCCTCCTCCTCGGCAACGATCTCATCATTAGGGAAGTTTTTTCGGAGAGCCGAGATGATCAGGGCCTGAGCGCCGAAGTCGCCAATGGTGACGGGAGACTTGTCGTCCTTGGAAATTGTGCCCTTGGCCTTCTCGAAGAAGACCTTCTGTGTCAGGAGACACGCCCTCTGGACGGCCAATTCGGCAATGTAACGTTCCTGTTGGTAAGACATGATTGTAGGTTGGTTGTAGGAGAGGTGGGGGAGGAGGAGGGAGAGACGAGAGCGGGATTTCAGAGCCACGCTGACGGCCAGAATAAGGGTGGAGCAGATCACGAAGCGGGACAGTACGCGTAAGAAATATGGGCGTTGGGATGGGTCGGTCCGGTGTGCAGATGAGAGCTTCATTCAAGATTAATTGACAAGAAATGTAGTCAGGATTGAATATTCTTTCTTTCTCGAGGTCTTATTGGTTATTGCTGGTCTTTTAAAGTCGTCAATGACTTCTTTCTCATAAAGTTGGCCTCAGGCATGAGACCCCGCCCTAATCCCCTTTGGGCCAGCCGATAAGCTTAAACTGTCTCAGCATTGTTTGATCTCCCCTCTTCCCCTGTAACAAGGCCATTTTGCAATTTGGATGCCCTGTTGGACAAACTGAGAAACACCAAAACATTCTTTCTATTTTTGCGGTAGTTCCATTGCGCTTATCATATTAACGGGCGCCGAGACCCCCCTGGGGCCTCCGACGTCACCTACAACACGTACACCACGTACACCACGTGAAGGTATCGCGAAAGCTTCTTGAACCCTTATTTTGTGTTTCACACCGTTGAATCCTTTCCGGTATTTTTCTAGCGAATCAACTTGCTTCCTATCACCGTCGATAGCCCCATACATACCCGCTTCCTGTGAAGCGTTGGTGTAAACAGCTCCGTGCGGGGTCATTTATATACCGACATCGCAGCGTGGGGTTGACTATTGGCTTTTGATACCAGGGGCCATTTTCCATTCCCAGACCTGCTCCTACTCAAAACAAGTATACAGTTTTCGAAACTATCACCTTGGCTAGGGCAGAATGTTTCAATCCTCCGTGAGTCATCGGGTGAAGACCATACATCCTTCCAGCACCGACTGATATAGCTGTTAGAAGCCGTACTCGGCAGTGACCGTACAGATTGAGGTCCTTACGAGCGAGCAATATGAAGTCGAAGACTCCAGCGGTATTGTCGATTTAGTGGAAGTAGTTCGCATCCAGGCCAGCGGCCCAATGGAAGCAAGTCGGGCTCTTCGCAAGAAGCTGTGAGTCCATGAGTATTGAAAGTGCTGAAAATCAGTCTGACCACTCCAGAAAATATGGCAATATCCATCGACAACTGCGCGCACTTACTATTCTCGACTTCCTGGTCCAAAATGCAGGAGAACGCTTCTTGCGCGATTTCGCCGATGAGGCATTGCTCGAACGTCTGCGGATTGCAGCTACTGATTCCGTTTCGGATCCACTCGTGAAGCAGAAATGTAAACAGATTTTTGGACAATGGGCGACAACTTATAAGGACACCCCTGGTATGGCAAGGGTCACGGCGCTATACAAGCAAGTTCCCAAAAAGCAGCCTGCCACACAGGCGAAAGCCAAGGTTCTCCGCGAGGGGTCTAGTTCGAATTCAAACGAGCCCCCGATGGGTCATGTTGTATCCGTGTCAGCGGGCAGTGGGCCATCCACTGTGCTGACCAGTCCCAAAGAAAAGTCCAAGTCCAGGAAAGTCAAGAAAGATAAGAAATTATCAATCAGCCACAGGAGATTTGATATGGAAAAGGAGCGCCCGGAGATCTTGCAAACCCTTGCTGCCTCTTCCGTCGCTAGCACCAACCTGTTGAATGCCCTTAAACACGTCAATCGCGAGACCCACCGAGTGGGTGAGGATGCGGAGTGCATTAACCGATTCGATACTTGCAAGCAGCTTCGTCATAGCATCCTTCGATATATCCAGTATATAGAAACCGAAGAGTTCCTAGGCGGCCTGATCCATGCAAATGAGGAGCTGGTGGATGCATTGATGGCATTCGAGGTGCTCGACAAGAGCGTGGATTATGACAGTGATAGTGAGGATGACATTTTGGAAGGCAATTGGAAGCAAAGACATGGACTTGGTCTGCAAGACACGGACATGAATGACGGCCTTGCCGGGCTTAATATCAACCCCCGAAAGCCACCTCGGCCGAGTCGCCCTGATAGCCTGCCTCTTGCATATTCGTCAAAACACACACGTCCAATCTTTGAGAGCGAGAGTGAGTCGGAAGAAGAAGACGATGAAGACAATCCCTTTGGGGACAGGAATGCTATTAAGACTCCGGGCATTGAGAAAGCTGGACTCACTTGGTACGTCATTTTTTCTCTCCATTACACCTCATGTTATTAATGCCCCTACAGGAAAGAGGTCTGATCCATATGGTTCCAATGCGCAAGTTCGGATGATCTTTACTTTTGCAGTTTGCGATTTTCGTTTCTTTCGTACATTGTCTAGTCTTTTGCTTGATCGGTATACCCAAAGTCATTGGTTATCGTGTGCTGAAGGGTTAACATCCATTTTGATCGCTGGTGTCTCGGACGTGTATATCCTTGAATGATTGCATTGCAATTTCGTTAACCCTTTTTCCAAATTCCGTGGCAAAGATATATACTGGCTTTTTAAAAGAAACCCTTAGCTTGTAGCCATAAAGCCACACATCCAGAGACATCCACTAGTGATAAAACCAGCGAACCACATCGAATAATCCCCGATTAGTCAAATGGGGCCGAGAATTAGCTAACTAGATGACGCCTCTAACTAGTTAACTAACAGCTGCCTACAAAGCGCCCCCACCCTAGCTCAGTAGACAGACCTATAAAACAACGTCCAATCCCCAGTAATCAAGGTCAAACTAAACAATTCCTTCAAAACACAGGCCATCTATTCAAAGAGAAGATAAAAATGCCGGTGACCGAACTCGCCCTCCTCCGCCTAAAAGCGCAAGACCCCTCGTCTTCTGCCAAAAGTACTTTCATAGAAGCCCAGGAGAAACAAACAACACACTCCGGCTATCATGTCACATACCTCCGCCAGATCGAAGACCCATCATCCGTCTACCTGATGGGTGGGTGGGAGTCTGTAGAGAAACATACAGGCGAAGGCCAGTGGCTTTCACTTGAAATCAACCAGACCCTGCTCGCGCAGTTGAAGGACAGTCTTGATGTTAGCTGGATGTTTCACTTGGACCTTGATGTGAGCTCTTCAATCCTGACGATGAACTAATTACGCAGTTCAAAGCTGTTATCAAGAAATATAGGCTAACGGATCTAGCCATCTACATCCAAAATCCCACTAGATGCACCTGTTCTCGCTATAACTCGATACTTTGTCGAGCCAAGCAAGAAAGACGAATTTGACGCTGTTTTCAGGAATGGTGTGTCCCATTTGGATGCCCACACGGCTCCGTTTTCTTCCTGCGGTGCGTGGCGCATTGACAAAGAGGGCGAAGATGAAGAGTTTGTTCTTTTTAGCGGGTGGAACCAGGTCCAGGATCATTTTGCTTTCGGGGAGTCTGAGGCTTCTAAGGAGTTTGAGAAGATTAAGGCGCTTATGAAGGATGCGGATGTTAAGCATGTACGTGTCGAGAAGTGGGAGTAAGGTACTATATACTTTCATTCATCTATATGGTATCTCTCGTGAGGTTATTATGTTATGTTCTAGGCACGGATGTGACGTTTAGGATGAATTTCACCATTGCTTTCCTACCATCCAGTTTGAGTGGTGCCTCTATATGCATAGCACCCATAACATCTTTCCTCTCAATCTCCAAGCCGAGAGATTTGGCATGTTGTTCTAACTGGCCTGGTACGTATGATGGAATGACTTCATCTTTCTCGGCAGACAGAAGAAAAATCGGCGGAAGCGAGCGAGGTATTGATGCCGTAGCTTCATTAGAGATTTGAGACCCCGGTTGGTCTCTCCAAGAAGCCATTTGTTGCATCTTCGCCTTGATATCCCAGGTATTCCAAGAGAACGGCCAAAGATATCTGTACGGAAGCCATTTCTGAGGATAGAGGCTGATGAGCATATCTTTCACGCTGGAGGTCGGCGCCTCCAAAATGAGCCCGGAAATAGGCGCCAGGGACCTGTTGCTGCTTGTATTTGAGGTTTTCCCCTCACATTGGCGGGCAATATACGTAGATACTGCTGAGCTTGCAACAGCAGCACCCAGACTGTGTCCCCAAATCACAATTTTAAGATCAGTTTCTGGGGACGCATATGTTTCTGAAACCCAATTCAAGAATGCTTGGGCATCCATCTCAATACCGGACTGTGTGGCGCGACCAGATGATGTCCAGTAACCACGGTATGATAGGGCAGCAATAGTATATTGAGAGACTTTGGAGTCAGACATAGGAGATGGATCCGATCTAGACGTTTCCGCAATTGCGCGCAAGACATGAGAGAGAAGAGGCAACCGCATAGGGGTCGATCCGCCATTGCCTTGGAAGTAACAGATCACAACGGACTTTTTCCGTTTTGGGATCAGTTTCCCCTGGTCTTTATTTTGTGAAGCACCAGTATTCAAAACAGACTCACGGCCCCTGGGAGGAACCGGAATGTGACCCTCACAAACAGCCAATTTGGTCCCATCCAAACTGCGAATCTGCTTTTCCTCCCACAGTACCGGTCTGCACTCAGCCTTGTAATCTGAAATAGACTCTGATCTTGTGAATGGAGGTAACCAGGAGAGGTAGAGGAGCTTGTTTTGCATGACAATGATCCAGAAGCATTTCCAGGTCCACAGACCGAGTAGGAGCCCGATGAACATGAGAGGTGGTACAGCAAAGCTTGGAATAGCGGCTGTGATGAGACTGCGCGATTTATTTGGTCGGACATTTTGGGCGGCGCTCTGTCTCTTTCTTGTAATGCTGTGGAGGCCATTGATGCCATTTGACGGGATGTTGTTATAAGGACTTGATGATGCTTGTCGCGTGCGGGTTGATATTGCCCTTGAGCTTGAAGCACGCAGCACGCGTCGCAGGTAGCAGCTTGCCAGCATCAGCAAAATTGATTGTCAATTTATTGGTTGGGTTGGAGGTTGTTGAATGCTTGCGATTTACTGGTGGAGCCGCGGCGAGCTGGGCCTTGACTCAGCAATTTTATGGCCCGGGAGCATTCCGAGGTCTCTAGAAGTTGAAGCTGAATATAAAGTGAGTATGAAGCAGGTCTTTGCGGTCAATTCATATATATTATCTCAAATCATAATTGGTTCTAGATTGAAAAATGAGAATGAGAAAGATATGTAAGAGGTAGATTCAATTTAAATCACAGACAATATATATTACTTGTAGAGCTTCTGAACAAACTCGAAGCTCTACCGCGCGATGAAAATTGTGAAAATTGTGAACATTCAAATGGGTATTATACGTCGTCATCATCTGGAGTCATGATATGAAAAAGAACAAAACGCAACCGCAGGAACAGAAGAGGAGATATGAATCCCTTCCCAAGACGCCAAAAGACCAAAACCGCAAGCCATGCAGTGATGCAAAATGAAGTCTCACAGAACCTTCGATCTCATCCACTCACTCGTGCCAACTCCAAGGTTCAGCCCGTTCCGCTCCCACCAACGCCGAACACGACCCTCAGCGCCAGAGCTCGGATCTGCATCCTCAAGCGCTTCTTCAATGTCACAAGTTTTGAATTCAACCCGCATACCGCAGTCTTTCCACCACTGCAGAACGTTGTCATGGCCATTCTTCGTGGGGCCCACAAGCACCTGGTTATCAAAGATCATCTTTGGGCCCTTGAGTTTATACCAGAACTCGAGGACATGAACATGACCGTGCGTGCTCGCGATGCGCGCAATGTTCTCGGTGTGGCTGTAAGGAATCCCCGACGCGTCCCACCAAGCAATAGATGCGATGCGGCCCGACTGCGCTGCGAGTAGGACGGATTTGCCGACTTTGAGAGGTAAGGGGTTGGATAGTGGGGCGTTGGCGGAGGCGGCTTTCCACCAGTCAAGTACGGGGACTCGACCTTCGGCGCTGGCAGCTTCGAGAGCACGTTCGCTGTATCGTAGCGGAAGCCCTGAGTGTAGCCACCAATCCAGGACGTCGATAAATCCTGCTCGTGAGGCGCCGTCCATGGCGTCGGCCATGTACTCTTTGTTGGGGAGAGCTGGCGCATCACGCCACCATGTCAGTATGTTCGGGTTGCCGTAGATTGCGGATGCCCGGTAAGGAATATTTGTGAGTCGGGAGGTTGTCCAGAGAAGGTCCAGGTGGTTTTCAGTGAGATAGGAAAGGATGTCGGTGCGGGAGAATTTGACGATGAGGTGGCAAGCGAGGTCGGAGAGCGGTTTCCAGCGAGGCAGCGCATCAATGCGCTTTTTGATCGCAGCGAAGGATCCTCGCAAGATAGTATATTCGAGTGTGGCCGTAGTGGACATTTTGGGTAGATGGCTCTGCCATTCTTGGGGAACAGGAAGATGAGTTGGAATGCCCACGGCTTTCGCTGTTTCCCAGTCCTGCAGTTGATCCTCAAAGACATTTAGCCAGATTTCCAGTGGTAAGAAATCGGCCTTCCCCGAATGTTCTGTTTGTGGCGTGGAGCCGGTAGCACCTCCAGATATAGATTTTGCAGCCTTAGCCGGGACCGCTGCACCATGCGGGATTGCTCTGGTCAAAAGGGTAGCTTCCCACGGCGGTAGTTTTAGTGTTGTCTCTAGTGTTTGTTGTAACTCCTTTAGGCCGTCCCATGGCAGAATTGTCAGGTCTTCGGGCCCGTTTGACTTCCAGAGCACAGGCTTGATAGTGCGAATCCAAGGCCAAAAACGACTGATTTCGTCGATTTGGCGACTGCTGAGCGGGTGGTCCCATTCTGACACCGTCATTCCTGGAATGAGGATCACGGGTTTCTTCAAGACCCAGCCACGAAGGAGCGCCAACGTCAGGGTATTAGTCAAGCCAGCCAGCATCGCGCCCAGAGCTCCAGCATCGATGGGCGCAACCAAGAGCATATCCGCCCATTCGCACAGCTCCGCCGTCTTCGCCTTGAGCCACTTCCGCGCGCCGGTTTTCTTATCGAATGTTTGACTGTCGACCATATCCATGTAGTGCGGGATCTTGTTGGTGCCCGTGAGCAAAGCCGATGGTTCGTCTGTGATCAGTCGCAGCTCGATGTATGGGTTCTGAACGAGGGACGGGAGGACAATGTCGGCGAAAGCGCTATCCGTCGACAAAAGCAATCGGCGGCGCCGAGGATGGGATGATGTTGCATTTTCCACCGCTTTGTTTTCAGTCACGGTTCCCTTATAGCGTCCATCCACCTCCATATCACTTGACCACGACCCCTTTGTAATGCCCTTGCCTTTCGTAATTGGTGAATTATTCACTCGGAATCCAACTGCCATGCCAATGTGACCAATAAGGCGTGCTGTACTGTATAAGGATAAGAAGGTAGGTCGGAGGGGAGAAACAGACTTCTTTTTCGCAGGAAAGGTATAGGTAGGCGCAAATAGTAGAGAAGAATTGAAGCCGAGAGGCGATAAAACGAGATCAATTGGGGACTCTCACACTGTACAAAGAGATAAGGTATCGGACTGGTGGTCTGATCAAGTCCAATCATGCAACCCAGGATTGAGATCAAGACTGGCGCTTTATTCTGTGCAACGACGATCAACTGGTGTCCTCGAGCGGTGAGGTCGTTGCGTTGTCTGGATGGTCTCGCCACGTCTTTGCCACACACCCGATGCGCTGAGCTACCGAGTGAACCGTGTTATTTCACGGCGAAAAAATGCCGAGATTCGTTCGAGGGAAACGATCGGCCAATCGCAAAGAGCCAAAATGCTGCTTCGGGGTCAATGGCGGTTAAAAATGGGGCCGTACAGCAGAAGCTGAGATTGATTGGCGAGTTGTTGGGCCGAAGCGGTCAATGCCTGAGATCATCCAACATGTGTTTTAGCACAACTGCAGGACGGAGTGCAACTTCCAATACTTGTTTCATGCGTTTCTCTATTGATCTATTCCTGTACGTTAACTGCTGGGTTGTTGCGAACCCCGACACCGCAACCCTATATATGCTGATGTCACTGATCTATATAATACTCGAACATTTTTCTATAAATGCTCGAATGAATACCTACTCTATCGTCGGGCCAGGTTGTTGTGCAGTTTGTGCTCCCTCATAGCCAGACTGGTCAATGCTCCCAGGACGGCCAGGCCTAACAATGTCACGAATACCGCCCGCAAGGAGTCCATGTATGCGTCAAGGACTCCAGATGTCAAGTCTGCGGGCAGCTTCCAAATTTCGTCCAAGCTGTCTCGAAGCCGTTCAATCAGCTCCTTGGCATCCTTGCGCCCACCCAATCGAGACCACAGCCCGAGCCTCAGGGTGTTCTGAAAGACAGCCGAAGCGACCGTGATACCAATCGTACTTCCCGTGCTGCGGAAGGCATACGAAGCAGATGTCACCACCGCATGGTGCTGGTGGTCTACAGCAGAAATGAGCGCCACCAGGGTGATGGTTAGCATGCTACCATAGGATGCACCGCCTAGGAAGAAATAGAGGAACGGCAATCCCACAGGCGTGTGGAGATTCAAAGTGCAGATGAGCCCAGCAGAGAGAACCTGGACAGCCATGGCAACATAATTGAGAGATGCATACCGACCGCTGGCGCGCATGATGATACCCGACCCCAAAGAGCCAATCGAGGTGCCGACCGCCTGCGGAATTAATCGCGCACCCGCAGCAGTCGGGGAAAGTCCCTGCACCTGGAAGTACACCGGTAGGTAAAAGAGGAGGCCGAAGATGGCCATGGTACCGAACCAGTTGGTCAGACAAGCAGCTGCCACGGTGCGGTTCAGCAAAAGGCGCACGGGAATGACAGGTTCAGAAGCAACCACAGCTTCCACATAGATGAACAGACCCAGGAAGACAGCAGAGGCAACCAGCGATGTCAGTACCAGCGGGTGGGTCCACGGTACCTGGTTTCCGCCCGTGTTGAGGCCAAGCAATAATGTGACCAATGTCAGAACTAGAGTGATGGCGCCGAGGAAATCAACGCGTTTGATGCGCGCAGTATCCGACTCCTTCACTGGAATCTTGACTTTAACTGCCACTAAAATGCATGAGATGACCAAAAAGGGAACCTGGAGCAAAAACGCCCATCTCCATCCCAGAGTATCGTTGATCCACCCGCCAAACACACCTCCAAGTCCCATGCCAGCACCGTAGCAGATGTTTCCAATGCCCTGCCAGATGCCTCGCTTGCGGAGAGGGACCAGGTCAGAAGTGACGAAGGTCGAGATCGCAGTAAGACCGCCTCCTCCGACACCTGCTACGACGCGACCGAAAATGATAACCCATTGTGCTCTTGCCAGGCCGCAGATCAAGTTGCCAAGGGCGAAGAAGACGTTAGAGAACACAAGCCCCCAGCGACGAGAATAAATATCAGTCAATCGGCCACTGAGAGGCTGGCAGGCGGCATTGGAGATCAAATAAGAAGTGGCTAGCCACGAGAGCAACGAGAATGAGTTGAAAGACGAAGAGATAGGCGCGGAGAGCGTGGCAACGATTGTTGTATCTGCAATGAGCTAACATCAGTCATTATGATACTCCTGCAAGAGTTGAAGTTCATACCGAGCGCAGCTAGGAAGACACCGAGCCAAATGCTTCCGAGGATCCAAACCAGCTCCTTGGTACTGGGTTCCTGGTGTAGTGGGGTATTCTCATTGGCATCGCCATTAGGTGAATCCCGAAGGAGCGGTGTTTGCTCAGACGCAGGCTCTCTGGCAGTGTCACCTGCAGACATGATGTGATGTCCAGAGTGAACTGAAGTTTTTCGAACAGAGAGATTGCCAATGATGTGATCGGAGACTCGGCGCAATGTCCGAAGGGACTGCGGAGATGTGGGGCCCTCTATAGCGGCTATCGCGGGTGTCTTATTGGTTGGTTCATACAGTGCATCGCTCCTCTAATTTAAGACTTGGCTGCTATTGGAGAAGAAAGAAAGTGATAGCAATAAGTTTTGTAACCCTAGTCAAAAGGAAAATCGCCCCTCTAGTCCCTAGCGGACTGTCTGCATATTTCTTTCTATGTAAAGGCATCATATATCCACTAGATTAACATCAAAATACCGCTGTTATACTTCTTTATGGCATCGACGATACTTCAGCGATGATCTAGACATTGATATCCTGGCTCGACTTGTGTGAGGAGTAAAAGAGGAAAGAGTAGCTCTTTCCAATTAGGTTCAAAGTTTTAGAGTTGCTACCACTCTCCAACTTTCAAATGTTCTCACTTTTTCACTGACTCATTTACATTGCTCCAAACTCTTCGTCATGAACGGGCTCATTTTATTTGTTGTGTTGCCGATGGCAGGCATCCCTCTTATCTCTTTAGCAGCAGCGTGGATTCAACACTTCGTTACCAAGTTCCACGTATGGATGATCGTCCGAACCACCAATGCCCTTAGAAAGGATATCGAAACGTATCAGAGCAAAGTCATTCTCTGGAACAAAGAAATGGCCGGGCTCGAAGAGCAGATGGATGCGGAAGAGGCAGAATTACCGGCGTGGCAAAGCCGGTTTTACATGATTCTACGAGACACGCCAACCTCGGAACAAGCCAAGGCTGTACATGGTGAGACAGAAAGGTTGCTAGATAAGATACGTGGGATACGACAGAAATTCACTTTTTTATTGAAGGACCGAGATTCTCTTAGTGCGATTCATATAAAGCAGATTGATAGGCTGGGAGACCTTAAGAAGACGCTCGAGCAATGGCGGTAAGTGTGTATATACCTATAAATGCAGGTACCTTGCTTGTTACTGATGATCATAGTCCTTAACTAGCGATTGACTTGCTTGTTACTGATGATCATAGTCCTTAACTAGCGATTGACTATTCTGTCTGATTGGTTGATAGTTGACCGAGATTAAATTCTGTGCTCACGCTACAGCCTACATGTACCCAGTTTCTTCTATGTTTTGCCAACAGCCTTTGCGTCACAATGATGCAGCCTTAAGATAGTTCCAATAACCCTTGAGATTCGATTACTTAACGAGATTCCCCAGCAACTGTGCATGTATCTGGTAGCAATATAGAACTCGGCTGTAAGTTTGGCCTTGGTTATGGAGCTCCCGCTACCGAGGACAGACGGATAAACAGTATCTAGAGCCTTGATGAACCTCTCACTCACGCCAATGTGACAAATCTACAATCATGATGAAGTCTCTACGCGGTTATGTCAAGGAACAAGAGCTGAGATATACTAACTGTGCCAATAGTGATTACCTAAATCGTAAATCAAAGGAGCACCACAAAATGCTAGAAGCTCCAAGGTTAATCTTCAATATTTTAGTGCCTTGAATTAATAACTACGTACATCATGAAATACAAGCAATCGAAGTGTCGATTCCAACAGCCTTGGAGTGAAGCAGGGGTTTTCTCCGCATTTGTGGAGAACCCCGGATTTCTTCCCCCTCTGACTCAAGGAAATGGACATTCCAAATGTCAAATTCGACTTGTCGAGTTTGGGACAGGGAGGACCAACTTACCCTTGACAGGTAAATCGGCCTAGTTGCAACATGTCAAATCAGGTCGAGTACAAGCGCAGGCACGACTTATATCGGCAGAAAGCAGACGGAGTTCATCGGCAAAACAATGTGCTCCGCAGCAATAGCAGACCGCCTAGCAGACTGCCCCAGCTGGATTGCAGATCAGTTGAGCTGTGTGACCACTGTAATTCCTGCTATTCGTTTCTCCGTTACATATGCCTTTTATATGAATTATTGCAAATTTTGAAAGACGACAATATATTACACACTCCACTAGCCTGCACACAGACCATCATCTGAGCCCCTCCACGAAGCTACCCCTCGAATCGCGTATATAGCGGCAACAATTCCGCGAGTTTCGAGTTCACAGCCCACCCGTGACTTTTCCGACCTTCCAGTGCTCTTCTCTAGACACAATCGCAATGGCAGACCCCGAGATGGACGAGTTCGCACAAACTCGCGGCGCCGATGACCTATTTGACGACGAGATTATCCCAATCTCCACAGAAGAGCAGCAGGCGCAGACAGAGGTCATTACCGCCGAGGCAGAGCCAGAGTCACAGGAGGCACATGTACCCGAGAAGCAATCTCCCGAGCAACCAATTCCACGTGGGGAAACTCCGCAGCGGGGCCGTGGCGGTGAACGAGGCCGGGGACGACGGAGTCGGGGCAAAGGAGGGCGCGGTGGAAGGGAGTCAGAGCAAAAACGGTCAGAAAGCACACCGCGCAAAAAGGCTCCTGCCAATGCGCCTGCTGCCGATGCGCGTGAGGCTAGTGCTTCCAGGCATGAGAAGCCCGCTGAGCCTAAAGAGCAGACCGGCCCGGTCGAAGAGGGTGGTGAAGAGGCCCAGCGTGTGCCAGCTGTACGTGGGGATCGGAGTGCCACTGGTGGTCTGAGAAAAGTATGCAGTCCTTCCCTCCCTTGCCAAGAGTATCTAGCTGACTGTTTACTTCCAGCCTAAACTCACAGAAGAGGAACTATCTAAACGCATTGCTGCAGCCAAGGAGAACGCTGTGAAGAAGGCTGCAGCCCATGCTCGCGCCGAAGCTGATCAGGCGTCGTTCATGGAGCGCGAGCAGGAGGCGGCGAAGAAACGTCGTGAAGAACTCGCGCACCGCCGCGTTATGGATAGTGAACGTGAGAAAAACAGACAGCGCAAACTCAAGGCCCAGACGGGGCGTGAGTGGGATTCGCAGAAACGCGAGGAAGATTATGATCCCCGCGGTGGAGGCAGCCAATTCCGACGCGGTATGCATGGCGGTGTGTCTGGTGCTGTGCGACGAGACTTTGAAGACGGCCGTTCAGAAGGTGTTGCAGATCATTCTAGTGATAACCGGGGTCGTGGACGAGGTGGTCGAGGTGGTCGAGGTGGCCGTGACCGTGGAGCTTCCCGTGCCCCACAGGGAGACCGGCCACGCAAGGGCTTAGCTGACAGTATATACGCAACAGAGAGCCCTGCTGCACCGAGGTTGGATGAGAGTGCATTCCCGGCTCTGCCCGAAGGACCCAAGAAGACCGAGATTAAAGCTGCGCCTGCGCCGGAGAACAAGCTTAAGGCTGAGACTAAACTCCCGCTCGAAACTGCTCCTGCACCATCCAAGTCACAGTCAGCAATGGAAAAATTGGAATCTTCGTTTTCACCTATCACTGGAACTTGGGCAGACCAGTTTGAGGATGAGTAACGAGATGTCTCATTGGAAAATGACTTTGTTTTGTTTTGGTTCTCATTGGTTATTACGATTTTCTTTCTGCATTCACGACATGAAAAGACTCCTGTTTCCATCACTTGCAATTTGATATCTCGCCTGTTCTGTAGCCTTGATTGGTGGCTCAGATGGGTCAGATGCAAAAGTCCAGCATTACATATACTTATATCGACGCTCATAGCGAACGCTGCTTTCTGGAATATGACATTGTTAGATCATTGCTTTCTTATAATTTTAGAATAAGTATCGTTGGCCGCTTATGCTGCCTCTATCCTTGACGTATCTCAATAATTTGATCCATTTAGATCGAGATGATATAATCATTGGAGTGCCTGATAGAGCAGGGCTGTGAGACTGGTCGAAATAACATGAAAGAAGTCTAAATAATTGGAATTTCCCCTCCAGATCATCAGAAAGGCCTACCCATACTTCACGCACCATTGATTGCCTTTTCTGGTAAGATCCAACTCGCCACATCCATCCTTCAGCGGGCTAGCAATTTCTCAGGCTCTATGATATGTATTAGGCTTAGGCGGGAAATACATATTGGTGTTTATAGACGGGTACAGAAGGCACAATTCGGTGTGAAGGAGGCCCGATATAGGGATCACCTCGGGACTGTAGTGAGACCGAGCAGGATAACACTTCCTCAAACAAGCGGGGATCTCCAGCAATGCACAAGCTGGGGAGTGACGGGGAGACCGCCGTCTTGCGACAAGAGGTGGCTCTTTGAGGGGTAGCAGATGGCTATAAGGGCCGCATGCTCTGACGTGATTGAGCAATGGATCACATCCATGAATATTCAATATCTCTCCAGATCGGGGTGATATAATGGCCACAGAGTACATCAACGGAAATTCTTAGGGGTTAGCACATAGTCACTAGTCACATAGCGCATTGAGCGAAGTGATTGTGCGTTGAATTATTCGGCAAATGCGATGTTAAATTGGTGATATAATTCATAAGGTCAAAGACGACAAAAAGGGTTCGATTGAATCATAGTTGATCTCGATTGCTCATATAGAACGGAGATTGTCAATGTGTAGGGGCTTTTACCCCGGATGTGGATGTGATTGGTCTAGTCTCGCGTCAACTGACACTAAATACGAGCATGCAGCCAAGAATTGTCCGAGAACAAAGTCCTGCGAGAGAATAATAGAGGCACAAAGTTAGATCACGGAGCCCTAGAGGAAGGCGATATATATTCCGGGAGCGGAAGTAATATTCAATACGGTTAAGTACAACATACTTCGTAGATGTCGGGAAGATCAGAAATTCGGAGGTCCCCGACGAGCACATAAAAAACCCATAACAGCCAACCAAATCGGTAGGGCTCGGCTACCCAGTGCCGGTCGAAGAAGTTGACTAATGGAAACCCCGGTTTCCCCACAGTGGAGTGTTGGAGGGAAAAGGGTTCTTCTTCCTTATAACTGTAAGGTCATAGCTGTTGCTCTTTGCTACATAATGGCACATATATATCGAAATGCGTTCAAAAGAGAAGATACATGGCGCCCAACCACATTTACCATCGGGCAACTTGGCACTTGACAATGAACGCCAAAACGAACAACCGAAAAAGAGAGTCAACGGGGGCCTTGATGCATGGTTAAATGTTCTTGCGGGCTTCTGTGTCTTTGTGAACTCTTGGTTGGTTTACACTGTTGTCACACGTACTGTGCTTCTATCAAGCTAATATTGTTTCCAGGGGCCTACTGACGACCTATGGCTCTTTTCAAGAATATTACCAAACAGAACTTCTGCGAAATGAGACACCATCCACGATCTCATGGGTGGGCAGTATCCAGGCCACGCTAATCCCAATGGTTGGTCTTGCTACGGGGCCATTAGTTGATGTTGGATACTTGCGTCCTCTAATTATATCCGGAAGTTTCTTGACTGTATTCGGAATGATGATGACCAGTCTCGCCACTTCGTACTATCAGGTACATCCGAAATCTAACATTGGGAGAAGATTTTCTAACAAGAACAGGTGTTACTCGCGCAAGGATTTTGCGTCGGAATGGGAGGCGGTATTTCCTACATCCCAGCCCTCGTCGTAATATCCACCAGTTTCACCACAAAACGCCCCATCGCCATCGGCTGCGCATCAATTGGGTCTAGCGTGGGAGCCGTCATTTTCCCAGTCATGTTCCGCCAACTGCAGCCCAGAGTCGGATTCGCATGGGCAGTTCGCAGCATTGGCTTCATCAGCCTATTTCTTGCTGTTGTAGCATGTCTGATTTTGTGTCGGCAACCAGGCCAGAGAGCCCATGCAAGAAGTCTTATCGACTGGAGTGCCTTCCGTGAGCCCTCATTTATGATGTTCTCGCTGTCGCTCACGTGTGTCATGCTCGCATACTACGTGCCCATTTTCTACATCGCCTCCTATGCCCGCACGGTGGTGCATACCACTACCGATTTTAGCTTTTATATGGTTGCTATTGTCAATGGCACGTCCGTTATCGGTCGTGTCGTTCCATATCTGCTTGTCGCATATATCAAACCTATTGGGATACTGATATTCTCCGTGATCGCGTCGGCGATTGCTATGTTCACTTGGATTGCAGCTACCGATATGGCTGGGTTTATTGTCTGGGCATGCTACTGGGGAGCTCTCAGTGGTGTTTTGGTCACGGCGCCGACTTCCATTGTGGCACATCCGATTTTCTGTCCGGATTCAAGCTTTTTGGGGACTCGTTTGGGCATGATGTGGGGGATATCGTCTTTCGGGGCGCTTGCTGGAACTCCAATTGCAGGTGCTTTGGTCAATCTCGATACCTCGGAGTTTTTGCATGCTCAGGTCTTTGCGGGTTGTATGATGGTTGGCGCTGTCTTGTTGCAGGTTTGGCCAACTTTCAGGGTGGTTCGGTATGATCTGGAGCATCCTCGCAAAAAATGAGCAATCCACTGAAAACTGGAGGGCAACATTGGCTTTCTAAATTCATATAAGTTGAATAAAATGATTCAAGTCCAAAATAATAGATTAATAGATCCGCTAGCCACATCAGTAGTATATTCTGCGGCTAATTCTTTACCCCTCTACTCCATTTTCAGTACCGCCTTCCTAATTTGGTTGAGAACCTGCACCCGATTAGGAAGGCGGTACTGACAATTCAGGCAGGATCGGGGGGAGGTTGCGAGCGAACGACAATTCCCAAAAAGAATTGTCAGCTCCCACTAATGAGAGGGTTATGCCCCAGTGGCATACTTAGTCGCCGGTAGTCCCCCAAAGGCCTGTGTCGGCTTCCAGGTGTGCTTCATTTAGGTCTCGCTATTCCATAAAAGCAACTGCACGATTGGCTCGTGTGTACTAGGAATGGAACACCCTGAGATCCTCCTCCCTTGGTTTCTGAGTAGAATGTCCACGATTTCCACTCTTCCGTTGCCGGCCGCGGCGGTATTCCAAAAAGATTGTCCCGGGTATTCATATCAAGACAAGATAGGATATGGGTGCTCTCGGATTGGAATAGCAGATTGGAGACAATCTTCTTTCCATGAGGCGGGTATTGGCTCTCGCCATGAAGATTGGCCCGTTCTCCCTCCAAGTATACTTTGACAAAAAGCAACACGAGTAGGCTCTCTCCTGTCAACCGAGGTATCGCATCGTCAATATTTCGATGGTTGAATCGTTTGAACGTGCGTAGTGAGATGATTCTATCAAATCTTCCTAAAGGAGAATGTCATCAGTAAGAATTATAAGAATAAGAAAGAGAAAGAGAAGACAAACATGAAGTAGGTTATTCATATATAGTTCCGAAACCTATAACGTGGACATCGGGAGAGCTTCTTCCACGGCTCGTTTCCTCAAGCGCCAACAATGTTTATAACTTCTTCGTTAAATGTCAGTGAATACATGCTAGAACCCACGTATATATATGCCATGCATGCACCATATACACATGGAAAGAAATTAAAATGTAATTGATGAGAATATCAAGGTTCGGGCACTACTACTGCCATAAGTCATCTATATATACAGCTTCTTAGGTACAAAGAAACAAAGGGGCGAAGAATACCTGGCAAACTAAGCTATTTGGGAAAGCAAGTTTGACAATATGTAAGTATTCGATATACGTAGTTACTTCAATGGTAAACCAATCACGGAGAGTGATATGTACTCATCATGACTTCATGCGGGGTTGTGGCGAGGATTAGGTCAAGGCTATGGAACGTATATAAATCCAAGTAAAAAAATTCCACTTCATCTCAAATCCACCAGCTAAACAAATTCAATCACAAGGATTGCACAAGGATTGCAGCCACAATTGAACCGAATTTCCTTAACACATACATCGTGAGTATACAAACTTCTAGATACAACGCCGACTTATACCAACCACTTCTCTCATTATTTTATCACTTCGTTTGAATCGCTTCTCGCCAAGATCGATTACGCTAATGACCTCATATGCAGGTCAAAATATTCACAATATCAAAATGGGCAGCGATAGTACCCCCAACCGCCCAACGACTGCGGTCGCCGGTGGCAGCAGTGCCGAGCCCACTCCCGCGAACGATGTCGGAGGTGGAAAAGGATGGGGCGACAGGCTCTGGTTAGGTGGCAAGAATGAGGGATTGGGCCATGCAGATGTACGTGGTCGAGTGTTGTCGGGACAGCTTCACAGCATACGCTAACTAACCCTAATTCTCATATCACAGGCTATCAATCCCAAATCAACAATGGGTGACTTCCTTTCTTTGAGTGATCAGAAGACGCGAGCGCAAAATAAGTTTATCGAGCGTGAGAACATGCTTGAGTCCAATGCCCTACCTATGAATGCCGAAGGAGAGCCAACTTGTGTTACCGAAGACCATAGTTTCATGAACCATAAGGCCGGTGCCCCTGATACTTATCCTGGATGGAGTACAGTTAAGAATATTTTTGGCAAGTGAGTTCCCTTGTTTCTTGACAAATTTACATGATTATTTCTGGCCAAATCAACCTGTTTCACAGGGGATAAGATGGTCCAATGGATTATCTCTCCCAGGGATATGAAGGAATGTATATATCTACTAAGTATACTGTCGCCTCTAAATTTCTATGCTATTAGTAGCTCACTCTGGCAAACCGTCTCAAAAGTGTAAAGATGTAATATATAAATAATTCTTGTGATATTATAACAACCACCTTGATCATGCCTGGTAACTCTGAAAAGCAACATGAACTTCTCAATTTCTAGTGAGCCCTCCACTTTGACTCATTGACTTTCATATTGTTTATCTCGTGTCTAGAATCTTGATTTCAATTTGGATGAGGTTAACGAGTAAACAAGCGCCTATCTCGGAGGCGAAAGATTGGGGGCTGCTCCGATTGGCGGCATTCAACTGTGGGGATAGGCGGCATAGCTTGTGATTGGCGCCCGTGATTCTAAGTTCGGCTGAATTGAAATGATAGAGGCATGGCACTGGGGAAGGTGGATACCAAGAGTAGTATATACCTATCTCGCAAATTCTGGGCTTGCCACAAGTGCCACCATTGTATTTATGGCAATCTCTAGAGTATCGAAATGATTAAATTGGAATTGAACAAAGAAAAGGTCTATGTTGGTCCAAATGCTAGGGTGTACGTATGGTATATATTTCAGTCTGTTGGTATTATTTGCAACTTGTCGAGAGGGGTATATAAAAATGAAGACGTAAGTAGTGGACGAATGAATGAACGGAGGCTTATAGATGCTAAAATCTGGAGGAGTCAAACATCTACTTAAACGTGTGATGTAAGGAAAACGGCTGTTAGAATAATAGTCGGAAGTAGATTGATTATATAGGCTATTTAATTGCATAGACAACTTCTATGCTTCACTGTGTTTGCCATAGTCAGCAATCTGTATAACATGCTGCCCGTTTCCTTCAACTGGAACTCCTTCGACGAATCCTGGGTCTACTGGATCAAGAGAGTCACTCTTCCTGAAGCAAAGATAAAACGCACATCCCGCCACGAAGCCCACAATTGCAAGAGATCCATACATCCAAGGAAGATACGGATCTTGTGACACTGGGCTTAGACCGATGCAGATCGCCGCCGCAATGCCGATCATGAGCCAGAAAAGTGCAGAGATAAAAGATCGAAGGCTGAAATAAGTTGTGGTTAGTTTGAGTAAGATAGTATTATGTGGGCAGTTGACTCACGTTTTCGGAGCATGGGTGAAGGCAAGCTCCAATCCAGTAACAATAACAAAGGCCTCGGAGAATGCGACCAAGATATATGCCGGGGCTTGAATCCACACGTGTATGCTGTTTGCTGGGGACTTATAAATGTAATGCTGTAGCACACTGGCGTAGACCATGGAGATTGAGACAAGAAGGAAACCGGCGAAGATTCGACGGACTGGGCTGAAGTTGATCTTAAACTTGCGAAAGACTGGATAGACGCCCACTAGAGATATATTGGTTAGCAGAAGTTTTTTTTGGTATCATCATTCAATACTCACAGTCAAGAAGCGGGATAAAAATACACAAGGCGATCGGGTCAAGGTTTTGCAGGAGATCGTTCGGCGTTCCATGCAATGCCATTTGTCCAGCTTGTGAGATAAGATTGTTCCAAATCTGGACCCAGCAAACAAAATAGAATGGGAAGAATATAAACATCTATAATATGTGTAAGCATAACTCAGTATTGAGGTATCGGATCCCAACTTACTCTGCAGCTTCTAAAGCCTCGACGGACGTCTGAGACGTACTGATCCGTGTAGCGCGGTGAAGATGCAAATGGATACTTGCTCAAATGTCCTGAGGCCTCTAGGGCTGATGGCTTCGCGTTTTCAAAATTCTTCTCCTGTCGAGCAATGTTCAAGACCTTGCATGCATCAATAATAGCAGACCCCTGAGGAGGAATCTTAACATATCGCTTCTGGCCGGACAAGAAGACGATAGCCGAGAGAACAATTGCACTGGAAGAAATTAGCAGGTGCGTAATACAAATGTGTCTCATCCCAACTTACATCAATGGGATCAAATATGCAAGCCAGAAAGAGTTCTTCGCCTCAACATTGACTGTAATCAAGGGGGAGAGGGCGCCAACATTGACAACCCAGTAGAACCACATGAAAAGTCGCTGCACGGTCATTTCAGGATCAACAACCACACGCTCGCCTGATTTGAGTACCTTTAACACCGGCTCTACATTTTGGTATTGCTCGGCGCACATGGGAGTCACATTGGCCTTGATTCCACCTGTTCCTAGGCCAATGATGACCATCGCAGCAACCAAGCCTCCAAAACCAGCATCACTCTTAAAGCCAGCCGGTGTCGCGGTCGCAACCAAGACGATCAACCCGACTATGTAGATTCCCAGAGAGATTGTGATGGCTTTGAATTTGCCGACATATTGATCTGGTGGACTATTAATAACAATGATGCAAGATCTCAAGGGGAGATGTATTACCTGCAACAATCGCGCCAATGATGGTGGAGGCATAAGCCCAAAATTTAAAGAAGTTTCCAAGAGCCGATGCGGTTGCTTGTCCTTTGCCTAGTGCGCCAGGGAGATCTGAACCAGGATCATAGGGGTTACTAGATAAAAACGGACTTAGACATTGTTCCCAAAAGATCGACTCATCTGGAAAAGACAGCTTACTTGATATAATTTTGCATAGGACCGCTGAGGCCAAAATAAGTAAACCGTTCGCCAAGCTAGTATGTCCATGTTAGCGGATGAGCTAGGGCAATCAACACGTGGGCGGTGGAGCAACTTACCTCGACGACAAGGATTAATAGTGCGACACGTGGGAATTTGTCAGGAACACGGCGGAGTCCAGCATGGAGACTAGTAGGAGACTGGTCAACTTTGTCCAGTTCCTCTGAATAGTCTCTTCGGTTATCGACTGAGACAGAGTCCATATCGGCTGAACAATGTAAATAATATAGAACAGTATGTGAACCAATGTGTAAGAGACAAAATATTAACTCTTCTCTACCCTATACCAAATCAGAGGAACGGCGTTTCAATTTAACCAACTCGGTCAGTGGAAGGATCGATATCGGGAACGAATCCGGGGTGTACGGCCCACATTGGACCCGCAGATAGGAATGCCCCCACCCCGATGCCTATCGCTTAGATCGGAGCTGACAATACGGCCGATGCCGCCAACCAGAGCCCGCCATTATATCCCAAGGCATATCGAAGGGTAAGTGACTAAATTTATCAACACTGTCAAATTATTTTTGATTCATTTTAATCGTTCATTTAAGATTGACCGTTTACCATCTTTTCAATTTCTCTTTATTGCCAACCTACTCATTGGTTCACACATAGCAATGGCTAGTACACAAACGTCAGTCGTGGTAGGTACACCGACATCGGTCGTGGTAGAAGGGACGAAGGGGCGCTTGTCTATACCAGACAAGCTCTTGGGTGGATTGGATCCTGAATGGGTAGAACTATGGGAAAAGCACGGCAGCTCCATGGTGAGAGCCGACGAGCTATCTCTTGAGGAATATCGGAAAAGTCCCGCCACGTATAGCTTCACCTACCCAACATGCCCTGGTAAGACAGAGTCTTGATTAAATCGTCTTAACAAGCACTAAATGTGCTCAAGGTCCGTCCGTTTTCCGTGTTGAGGACATAGAGATCCCAGTCTCTCAACCAGCTGGAAAGATCATGATCAGGGTATATACGCCAAAAGGACCTGGTCCATTCCCCGTTCATTTGAACTTCCATGGAGGTACGCAACTTACCCTTACGCTCTCTAACGTGGATTTGCTAACCCTTGTTCATTGACTCCAGGTGGATGGGTCCTTGGCAATCTCAACTCCGAAGCTGCTTGGTGCCGGCACATGTGTAACAAAGCGCAAATTAAAGTGATTGATGTGGACTACCGACTGGCTCCGGAATTTCCCTATCCTACCAGCATCTACGACTCATGGGATGCTGTGAAATGGGTAAATACAAAAACAATACCATTTGATTTTTGCTTCGCTAACACGATTTCTGGACAGACAATAACCAATGCCTCTAGGCTCAATGTTGATCCCTCGAGTGTTTCTATCGGAGGTCTCTCGGCTGGAGGTCAAATGACTGCAGTAATGGCGCATCTCGCCCGTGACGAGGGCATTGAGTTAAAACTTCAGTTAATGATAGTTCCGGCGACAGATATGCGCTACTGTCTAAGAACCCGGGAGCTGAATGAGTTTACTTGTCCCTACGAAAGTGTCTTGCTATTCCATGATTCTCCTTGGGGACCACTAAGCAGAGAGCAATGGTTCCTGAAGTATTGGCTTGGCGACGATGACGGTAAGCCTTTTCTTTCTCTATTCCCCTCTTGCAACTCTCTTCCTACATTTACTCATTCTTTTCTAGCCACCCAAGAAAGAATCTTGACAAAAGAGTGGATATGCACACCTGTCCTTGCTCCTTCATTCAAAGGCCTTGCAAAAGCACACATCATCACAGCAGAATTTGATCTTGAGCGTGATGAAGGAGAGTACTATGGTCAGCTTATGCAAGAGGCTGGAAATGACGTCACAATGAAGAGATACCCCGGCGTGCCACATGCATTCGGGCACTTCAATCACCCCGAAAGGGGACTCTCACAAAGCTTTGTGTATATCGAAGACACTAGTCAGATGCTTCGGCAAGTGCACTACGGCAAGAGCGAATAGTAATGGGGAGTATGTACCAAAAAACAGAAACAAAAGATTATTTTGCTCAAGCTCTAAGTTCCCTCGAATTGAGCATGATGCCATGTTATATTGGTCTGTAGTAAATCTTTCTTTCTCTCTTTTTTTCTTTTTGCATGGTTTTGCATGGTTTTGCCTATAGGATATACCGACTTTTTCTAGAAAGTCCCGATTTTTTCCTCCCTACATTCTAAGCTCCATGCACACTGATATCAATAAAAGAATGTTATCACAACCTTAACTTTTACTTCCCGAGGTCGGCCCGGGCAATGCGGGGACAAGGTTATCCGCACGATAACTTAAAATTTCATTTCGTGTTAGTTACGGAACTAACGTATTCGGTAAACGAGCTGCGCATGCAACCGAGCTGCGCACCCCAAAACACATAGTAAAAGCGATAAATTACAACATGATATTGCAACAACGGTGGTCAATATAAACTTTATCCTGTAGCCCATCACTCTCCATATGATATCTGATCACTCTAGGGAGTTTTGAGAAATTTGATATAATAGTGATTGAGATATATATATTTCCTATAGTTCAGTGATGTAATTTTCAATACCGCAATGATGCAACTTTCTGATTTATTTGAAATTGAGATATATTGCTAAACATGCTTATCGATGAGAAAACAATAAATTATTCCTCTGAACTACAACAGTTCGAGGTTCCGGGGTAGGGACCCATGCGGAGATTCAAAGCCAGGTCTAGGCTGGGTACGGATTCGTATTTTGGTCTAGTGGTAAAATTAACTTTGCGAGAGGTCGGGGTAAACGAAATCTACAGCTGGCCAACAACCTTGAAAACTGTCAGAAATGCTACTGCTACTCGTAATATTGCTCAATAGAATAGGCAGTCAATAGGCAGCATTTTGATAAAAGTAGAGCTAGCTGGATACCGAACGAGTGTGGTGATAACAAGAACTGTAAACAAAGAGAAACACTTGGAATGTACGAATACATCACCCCAATACAGACAGAATCCACTGCTTGTTCCAAGCCCTCCTTGACGTAAGATCATTGGCATTGAGAGGCACGAACCATCCCAGGCCTATGATGAGCTAGGGAATAGTCAAAACAGCCAAGGATTCTGCTTCTTGCGGAACTGTATAATTGGTTCAAACTGGGGTCTGGCAGTCAACCGTCTTGTGGTGCTCATCGTATTCACAGTGGTGGCGATCAGACTTGCACTGTAGATGAAGGTTGAACGATAAGAACAGATAAATTGGCCTGGAATCGAACCGGAATTTACCTTCTTGTTGGCAGCCGAACCGCAATTGACTACGTGGTCCTTTCCACCCTTTCGGTATGTGCACGTGTTGTGTTTCAAGCTGCATTCCTGTAGAGTGGTTTAGAAAGGTCAGTGTTATCTCTATATAGACATCTCATAAGAAGAACTTACTCCTCCGAATTTACTAAGCTGTACGTCTCGGGCAACAAGATCATCCGACTCGGTCGCGATGGGGTTGGCAACCGCGCCCATTGCGGCGAAGAGGACAATGGCAATGCTGGTGATCTGCATGGTGGAATATTGATCTTGTAGAAGATTGCGGTATAGTAGTTGAGATAGAAATGGTGTTGATGAGATTGATACTTTACAGATTGGAGCGCCGTGAAGGTGTCTTATATAGACAATGCCGGATACTTCCTGCAATATTTGACAAATACCATCCTCGAATTCGATGCAGTCATCATTGGGGCCGCGGTCAAAAGGTCGTCCAAGCTATCCAATGAAAGATATGTCTCATGTATCCAAAAAACCCAACTTTATTAGTTGATATGATCTCTTAGGTGGAGTAGCCGAGTTGTTGGTAATTGTACCACTTTGGGGCGTGATAGCCCGCGCAGAAGGATCGAGGCAACCAATCCGATAGCAAAATATTTAAGATCTGGATGGCCTTACACTCTCGGTGATGTTGGAAGGAGGAATGATGACCTTCAGATCCCCGAATAGATGAGTATGTCGTCCATACGGGGTATAGAATAGGCAATGCTATCATTGGCTCAATTCTAACGGTACTACTGATCTGCCCCATCGGTCGACCCGCAAACCTGCATACACAGCCTTGTGGCCTGCTACAAGGCTGGGGTGAAAGTCCGACGAACTAGGGCGATCAATTCCATTCATGCGCCAAGTCTTTTGTGGTCCGGCCCGACCCGGATCTGATTCTCGCCTAGGGCTGAAATAATTTTGGGGTCACAATCTAAATAGTATATATAGTCATCAAAAGTCCTTTGAAATCGAAAGGCCAAAATTGACAATGTTGTGATTATGAAGACTAGTTCTTAGCTTCGTATAGTATATAGTCTCAAAAATCATTGAAGTGGAGATGGACTCGTTATTTTGCTGTACCTACGGAGGAACTACAGACGGACTAAGACCTCAAGGCTCCAGTATTATGTTTTGGTACTTAGGGTAATTGCCTAACGGGGTAAAGAAAAGTCGGCCAATGGCCTTGTATCTCTTCTATGTCTCAGGCTCGCTGGAGTGGATTGATTATCATCTGGTTAGTCGGCAAATGAAACTTGAGGACCTTGGGATTGACAAAAAAACAGAATTTGACGCTATGGAGTAGAAACGGCTAGCTTTCCATCCGTGTTGGATAGCGAGCGCTGAATCGCCCCCATCCAAAACCGCCACTATTTTGCGTCCCTAGATGATGGTACTTTCTATCAGACCGGAGAATCCAATAACCCGAAAATACACGATATTCTTAGTCATATATATTGTAACCTTGGAACTAATTAACTAGTTATTTAGATAGTCACTGAGTACGCCCAAATTCAACCGAGTAGAGGCATAACTCAAGGATATGTGGATAGAACTATTGTGGACGTGGAATTTAGATATGAAAGGCATTCTATTTCGCCACCGCTTCATTCTAAAAGACAGAGCAGATGTAGATTTGATAAATGAAAGGAGCAGAGAGAGTGACATTTAATTTGAAGACCCAAAGAGGCCGAGAAAGAAGAGAGGAAGGGGGAATGTCTACATAGAATTTTCGAGTTTTCCTTCGAAACTTCATCCAAGTCTTTACGACTCTGGCTCTTCAACGCGTGCAAGGGGCTTTAAGCACGAAAGATGCTTATCCTGATGCAGGGCATCGCCACCATTCTTATAAACCCTGAGAATCTCAGCATCCCTTTGTTTGATTGTATTGATCATACACTGGATGCCATCAGTGGCAAGCTCCTCCAGGGCTTTCTCATTGGCCTCCTTGGCTACTTCCTGAATCTCATGAAGTCGCTTCAGCCAGAACATGTATCTCCATGGCGAGAATCCAGCAGGTGATCGCTGTCCGAGCTCCGATTCAAGGAAATCCTCACCACCCTTACTAATGTGGCTAGGGCAGTCGTTCCAATACATTTCTGATAGCAAAAGAAGGTTGTGGCTTGCTATTTTCAGCCAAGCAACAGCAGCTGGTAATAGATGAAAGGCCTCAAGCTGCTTGGTACCTCGATTGACATCTTCCTCGTTTGACTCTTCACCACTGCGAAGTACTTGAGGGCTTTCAAAGAGAGTGCGGAAGATTAGAAGAGCAATTTGGCACAGCCTATCCTTAGAGACACGAGTAGATGCAAGTTTAGCCAGGAATGTTGCAAAGTTGAGACGGTGTGTTCCCGACATAGAAGCACCGTGATTGACCCAGAAATTGGTCATATCGCCAACCAAGAAGGGGAGATCGTTCCACAGTGTGCCGTCGACGGTTCTTGCGATATCAATCCCATAGTCTCCGCGCGCAGGTCTAATCAACGGCCCCATCCCTTGAATGCGGAGGATATCGAGGACTATTCCCTCATGTTCAGGTGCGTCGGAGGAGATGTTTCGGCCAAGCTCGTAGTACATATACCACAGGGAATGAATGTGGCCTTCAAGGGAGTCTACACCATCTCCAATATCGCAGTATCGGCTGGTAACGACCCAGGTCCGGTTACTGAAGGCCATGTCTCGAACCTCTTTAAATTCACCCCGAGCGACACACTGGCGTGTACCTTCCTGATCTCTGCGAGCATGGTCGATCGTTGCGGTAGAAGGTGTGTCTCTAGGCAGCAGAGAGCTCAGCAGAGAATCACGGAGGTGGTCCATTTTGGAAGGCTGACAATGTTGAATGATGATTCAATTAGAATTCAGGTAAGAGAAAGAAGACAGTGGGGAAGTGAAAGAGTTGATATGGTGGAACCAGACAGGGACTTTAATCGCTGTAAGGGTAAACTTGAACGAGGGGACAGAGGGATTTCTCTCCCAGGGTGGGAACCCTCCTGGATCCCTACTAGGCAGCAACGTAGGTTCTGACAGGCTGACAGCCCAATATCTGAATTTGGACTCGTGTATGCGCTGATAGGCTGAACCATTTTCTGTGTTGGCTGTCGATCAGCCGTAGCCAAGACAGAAGTACATGTCGATCATACAGCCATCCAGCAGGTACTACGTGACAGATCACAAACCCTGCGTTGCTGCGAGTAAGACTGGAAACTCGCAAGGCTGAGCTGTACATGAAGAGAGCGTGATAAGATGGCCTACATACATTAGCATTATTTCAATGTTACGTTCAATGCGACCAACTGAATGCTTGGTTTTAGAGCCGCTCTGGATCGTCATGAGGGCTAGCGAACACCTTTTAGCTGTCGGCGGGCCCAACGGCACTCGCGCATACATGGCACCATATATACAGTGCTAGCTACATTGGGTAAATAAATTGGGCATAATCATCATCATCAAGTTATCACCAGAAGTGCTCCGTATTCCGTATCCCGATCTACAGTTAATTCAAACCCTCCAGGCCGTTGTTTGATAAAAGCGTCAAGCCTATGAATGTTATCACCAAAAAGACAGCCCATCAATGTAGCAATTAGTTAGTAGCGAGAGAAAAGTGAAGGAAGCGTATCAATCCAACAGTTCAAGAATGCGTCCTCGGAAAGTGCAGTCGCCAAACCTAGCGAAGGACTGTAATGCAACTTCCTAGAGGGATAGAGCCCTGGAGGGCCTTTCAGCACGTGCATTTCCTAATAGTCCGGGTGGCCCCAGGTTGTGACCCTGAAATTATTTCGACTTGGAATGATGGCTTATTTTCTGCGGAGTAGGCGAGGATGATCTGTTGGGGCCAAAATGCAGCCCTGTAGGGATCACACTGTATATGTACAAAGTACGAGTACCAACACTTTCCATTCTATTGGCTCCTCTCACACGCTATGTTTCTGTCCTCATTTATTTCACAGTACTAGTTCGTAGATGGAATTGGTAGATGAGGGGGACCTCTAGAGTCTACCTGGTGTTAGTTAGGGTGTGTCTGTGCTGCGCGCTCAGAACTTTCCCTCGGGCCAGTTCGGAACTGGCCGTCCCGGTTAAAAAGGTCTGGGATCCATTTTCACGGCGGCTTTTTCTCGAAAAGGGCAATTAAATCAATATTTGAGAATAGAAAAACCAAGTCGTTGAGACTGCATTCAAACAGCCAATTTGACTTCGAGTTAAGCTAATGGCAAAACCCTACAAAATGGGCTGCAGTAGTAGACCCGGGAAGCTGACTCCGAGAATAGTTGTACCGATAGTTAAAAAGAGCACAAGCAATGTGTGGAGATTTGAAAGTATTAGTGCAAGATTTGTATTCAGTATAATCATATTTATATGGAAACTCGAATAGACCTTTAGTGATAATAAATCACATTAATCCAAGAACCTTGGAACCCAGATATAGTCACGTGGAATGTGGGGCTGGGATTTGACTGTGTGGACATCGTATCTCTTAAACCCTCGTTTAGCCACTAATCTACTATGTGCTCATGACAACTTTCTCAATGAAAGGATGTCAGGCAGAGCTCGTAGGTACATGAGTAAGCGGAACCGCGCTTGTGATTCCTGTCGCTCTAGGAAGGCAGCTTGTCGCATTGATCGAGCACCTCCCTGTTATCTTTGTACACTTCATGGGAAAGAATGCACGTTTCTACAACCGACCTCAAGGCCACGCCAGCCTTTCTCCGAAGCGATCAGCTCACATATACCCCAGCAAACTGAGATAAACCCACGCTCAGATCTGCGTGCGGTTTCACCAGTTGGTGACTCAGTCCACTACGATATCTTGATGCCGATTGATGATCATGGGGTAAATCATTCGGTTGCTGCACCTGAAGGGTTTCATGATTTCTTTAATGGAGCCGGAGTATCGTTATCGGGTGACTTTGGAGATGGCACATGGCCGACTGGATTTAGTCCAGGGAGCTTTATTTACCCATCCCCTGGGCTTCCAGGGACTGACCATTCGGAAGCCGGAGCTTCATCGAATGCAAACTGCCTTCCATTGCTTATGCAGGAGAATGGCTCATCCATTTGCCTTGATACGCAGGGTATAATCACACCACAATTGCTCGGCAGTAGTGGTGACATGGACCCTTTTCTGATTGGTCGTTATCAATACGACACATCTGGGGCTTCTCATTTCAAAAATCTCAGTATTCACTCTGTCTCTTCAGGGCCCGAGCCAACTCAATTTTTACTGTCAAAGCCCTCAATATTTGCTGCCAGCAGAGAAGAAAACGGATGCGAGAACGTTTCGACCCTTGAATTGAGGCAGGAACTCGAGTCCTTGGTCCCGGCAGATATCGGTCTCAGACTTATTAACTTATTTGAGAGAATCATCGCACCGGATTACCCGATACTTGGTTTACCAGGCCAATTAAACCCCAGCACCAGCCCGCCATACCTCCTTGCGAGTGTATACCTAATAGTCGAGCCCTTCACTAAATTTGACGAAAGACTATGCATTGATCTCGCGTATGATAAGCCATCAGGTGTGGCACTATACGAGATTATCAACAAAGCGCTTCCATATGAGATCCACGCACCGAAGCTTTGTGTTGTGCAGACAATGCTTCTTTTGGCCATTCGACCTTATCCAAACCCAATTGTATTGGATAGTGGCTTCAGATGGTCCCAGCTCGCCACCCTTGTTGCTTGCGCTCATACCCTTGGACTACATTTAGATTCAAAGTCATGGCGAATACCTCCATGGCAAATTGCGCAGCGACGTCGTTTGTCGTATTTCATTTATTCGACAGACAAATGGCTTGCATTGAGCCTTGGTCGGCCACCTTTACTGCATTATGATAACTGGCTCGTGACATGTCTTAGTCAAGAGGATCAACCTGACAGTGGACTTGACCCTCTAGCCTGGATGAATATCATGAAGCGAGCGGAACTCGACGCTCTACTTGATCGTGTTCTAGCGCAATTATAGTAAGGCAATCCCCGTGTCCGTTGTCCACTGTCTCGCCGTTATCCGCAACTCACTAATATTAGTTCTCCTCGTGCCATTAATACCATGTGTACTGATTACCACAAGACCGTCGCATTAACCGGTCCACTGCTTGAAAGTCTCTTCTCTTGGCACAGACCGGTATCTGTACCATTGACCGATGTCAGATCATTAAATCAAGGCAGACCAATCGGACTAGGAAGAACACTCGAGATGAACTACCATTATATTCATCTGAGTATTTCCCGCGCTATTTTGAGGCCGTTTCTGCAGCCAACCGTTGAAAATTTGAATGAGACCGAATATATAATGGCGCGTGAGCAGGCTCGGAACCGGGCAGAAAACTGCATTTTGGCGGCAGCGGAGTTCATTCACGAGCTGCGTCCGGAAGACTTCGAGGTTTTATGGCCGGCCTGGAGTGCGACTGCATTCTCGTCCATCTGTTTCCAAATTCTGAATATGGCTGCCACCTCCGTTGATAGGAACGAGGCAGACAAATGGGTCACTTGTCTGAACAAAGTGCGCCGGGATATGCGTCTGAAGGCTGATGTTTTGCCTTGCCTCCATCTTGGCCTTCTGCGGATTGATTCCATATTTTGGAAGGGAGTTGACAGTGTGTTGCATTTGGAGGAGCATGTCCAACAAGCGTTCGCGTCGGGCTCAAGCATTGGTCGAGCCGGTCCAACCAAGTGACCACGTGTTGCATTAATATGTACTACCAGATTCCGAATAATGAGGTCAGAGGCAGTTTTGTGTGAACAACCTCCTAGGTGCATCGATTGTGAAGAAATTAGTGACAGCGGAAATTTCCGGCCTCAATATCACAGGTCTTCAGGTTCTGTGAAGAAGAGCAATATATAACTAATTTTAGGCTTTTACAGGTCATTTAGGAGCTTTGAAACCGCTAAATATTGTAACTGTGATTATTTATTCAAATGTGAACTAATCCACTTTGGTATCCTTGCCGCGGAGTCGATCACGGATGGCCACCAAGTTCCCCAGTATCCGGCCTTTGAGGGTCTGGGCTCCGAGGGCGGCAGCCTCATCTAGAGAGACAACTCGTCGAACCAGGATGTTGAAGATAGTTCCGAAAGCAAGTGCAATAACAGTACTAGTAAGAATGATCACATTGTATGGCATGCTGAAATCTGGGGTTGGAAGTTGAAGCAGCAGACTCGTTGAACGAATGTAGATCGGCACATTATGGGCCGTATCCAAGATCCGAATTACTGCAGGTGCAACGTTGAACCCTCGATTAGCATCAGGCGGGTACTCGGTGTACCGAAGAATGGCTTTCTCGAAATCGTAAGTCAGCGTGACAGTTGATGCGGCGGGGACAGACAGCGCCAGTTCTAATTGTGTTCCGCGCTCGCGATCAATAGCAGGCCGGTAGTACGTTTCTTTGACGATTTCAGAGGCTGGGACCTCGCGCAGGACTCCATCGTGTCCTGTGATTGTTGCGTGCAAAGTGTGTATATATGGTCGCAGGAACCACGGAAGAGATTCGAAGTAGATAAAGTCAACTGCGCTGGTGTTGGATGGATTGCCAAAGATAATGCGCATTCCACCGCGCTCCTGGCCGTGGCCAACGATAGTTCGCTCCGCATGCAAAACAGGCTCGTCCAATGGAACTTCAGTGTTAGCTGGCTGCTGCGGGATCGAAAGATCAAAGGGAACCGAGGGCGCCAATTTGAAACAGCGTGTAAAGCCATCATCCTTCTTGATTTCATTGGCCTCCTCGGATATGAAGACACCCCGTTCGTGAGGCACTCGAAGGCAGACACTCTGGTCGCTAGACCCATCGAAATCTGTTAGAGGACAAACACCATTTAGGCTTCGCCCAAAAATTTCCGCAAGACTCCATGCCTTGTCGCTTGTCTTCTCCACCGGATAGCAGGTATCGTCTGAATTATAGGGCTTGGAAGTGTCGCAAACCAGCTGCTCATTAGGCACAGGCCGAGGAATTGGGTTCGCTAGATCCATGTTAGCAATCTTGAGGCAGAGTATGCCGGTGAAAAGTACGCACAACGAGAGCGCTTGGAGCGATCAATATCCAAGACCATGTCCACGGTTTGCTCGATCTGAACCACACATTCTCCATCTGAAGAACAGACTGGCTGGATATCGACGGACATACTCTGCCACGCGGCATCGAACAGCTTGTGCCCATCAAATAGTGAAGAGATTCCAGCCTTGCCTTTGCAAGGAAGCAGCTTCAAGAAAGGAGTCAAATTCTCTGTGCAAACTACCTCTCCAGGAAGCGTTCCATGCAAAAGGTGCAGCTGATCAGCAGCTGAGTGATCCCCAGCCGGTTCAAAAGAAACCACAGGTCGAGTGGTCCGGGTCGAGTCCACGAAGTTCAGTGAGGCGCAGAATAGACCAGATAGGGACTGTGTCAGGGTGATCCATTTGGCAAAAGCCCTAGTTAATCAGCATTGTGTGTCTTTCATAACATATTTCGAGTGAGGAGCATACTCTTCATCATCCGGGGCATCAATCCACGCCCAAAGCTCGACGCCAGTGCCTCCTTCTTTACTGCCGTTCCATGGTCGTGTGCCCCAGCTTTCAGCGTCCCATCTGCCGGTGGTGAAGCGGAGGTGTAGTTCTTTTGTGTGGGCGTGTTGGAGAATCTGACCAAGCGCGCGAGGCAAATATCTAAAATGCTGTTGGTCGAATGATTGTTGCGACGTATTACTTCGGAAGTTAAAAGAAGCTAGCAAGGAGGACTGCGGGAGAGGTTGAAGGAGGAGGTGCTCATGATAGTCCGATGACGCAAAGGCAGAGGAGCTCCATAATGAGAGAATAAGCGCGACGAAAGGAAGTGAGAATAGTGAAAGGACCGTCATGACTTCATGCTTGCCGGAGCTCGGTCTTCGTCCATGCGGTTGTCACTGGTCAATTGGCAGGGGGTCTCGGCGAAGCGATGAGCCTATATTGACTATGGCCCCAGAAAATCAGACCTCAGTAATCGCCAAGTCAATATAAAAGCTCCACATCGAAAGAAAGATCAAAGCCAAACGCCAAAATCCCCGAGATGCTGTTGACAGCGGAGCCTCACCGCCTTCCTTGGCGCCAAAAGCATCCAAAGCAAAAGACTTCGTCGTTTGCCGCCAATCAGCCCGTTGACACAATTTCGTCTTTCATTTCCTTTCCAGCTTAGTGCAGACACCGTCAGCATGGCAGCAGAACAGAGAAAGCTGCTTGAGCAGCTCATGGGAGGTATGTTGCTCCTTTTGTGACTCTCAAAATTTCCGAGCTCCCAACAAGTCTCTTTAAGTTGAGCTAACATTGCTTCTGTCTATAGCTGATCAGCTCACTGGAACTGGCACACAGGGTCGCAATTCCCAGCTCGCAATCACAGACAGCAAAGTTTGCCGTTCTTACATTGTTGGCACCTGCCCGCACGACCTGTTCACAAACACCAAGCAAGATCTCGGAATTTGCCCCAAGGTCCATAGTGAAGGCTTGAAGACAGAATATGACACTGCGCCTACCTCAGAGAAGGCGAAATGGGGGTTCGAATTCGATTACTTGCGCGACATGCAGAAGTACATTGACGACTGTGACCGCCGAATCGACACTGCGCAGCGCCGACTGGAAAAGACGCCGGATGAGATTCGGCAGACGAACGACCTGGTATGTCTAACTTTACTTCAATCTTCAATCTCCAATGAGATGGACTCCGTTGGAGTTCACTAACTTCTTATATAGCTTAAACAAATTGCCGACCTCTCCAACACCATCAACTCCGGTCTCCAAGAAGTCTCGATTCTCGGCGAAACAGGCTCTGTCGCACTAGCACTCAGTGAAATGCACAAAGTCCGCACCTCCAAGCACCAGAAGGAGAGTCTGGAGCGCGATCTCAAGAACCTTCAAGATACCTCTGGGCCATCTGGCCACCAGAAGCTACAAGTATGTGACGTTTGCGGTGCTTACTTGTCTCGTCTTGACAACGATCGCCGGTTGGCGGATCACTTTTTCGGAAAAATGCACATGGGGTACTCAGACATGCGCAAGAACTGCAAGAAGCTGAGCATCGAGCTGAAGGGCCGGGCTCCACCAATTCGTCACCATGAAGAAGATGATAACCCTTACACCTCTGGTGGTCGTCCCGGTGCTGGTCGGGGTCCTCGATATGGCGGTGGTGGTGGTGGCGGCGGCGGTGGATATCGGCGCCGCGGAGGTGGAAGATGGTGAAGGATGGTGAAGGATGGTGATTTTCGTTGACTTCACTTCGTTCTTGAAAGCTTGGGCTCTGGACCCGTTGCATAGCGCAGGCGTTTTTACTTATTATCTCGTGTATGATGCTCAAACGACGGTTAGGGAGGTCATAGGATAAGTGCTCAATATCCATTTCATTTTTCATTCTTCTGCTTCTTGTCGATATCTCACAACACTGAAAGATGTACAAGAAATCGTGTATAATATATTATCTTTCCACCTGGTAGGATGGAATATCTCAATCTGTGTCATAATAGAGAAATAATACATATCACTAGTGATAGAATGGAACTTAGTGACTACAAATGCAGAACTTTACCAGAGCATGATTACAATCTGCCTACAATAAACCCAGGGCTAAACAAGCCGTATAAGATACTAACTAGAATCGGTTCCATTTTTGCGAGTAGAGAACCAGCATAAAATTCGAAAACATTTGGTGGTGGGTATTCCACTTTCCTAAAACAAACCCGTTTCCCAGCCCTGGAGATTTCACCTGAACACCTGACTAGCATTGCGCAGCCTTGTAAAAGGAAATACAAAATGGGATAAACTGTACAGGAAAAAAATGGCTATCATGGGAATGAATAGCTCTATTACACACCCTGCTGAGGCACGTGGCCGTTTGCTTGGGTCTCAAATAGAGCCTGCATCAAAGTATCGTAATGAGCAGCGGCAGCAGGTTGGCGAGCCAGAATGTCGCGAACGACACTAAGCTGCGCCATGTCCACGTTAGGCGCAGTCTTCAGAAGTTGTTGGATGGCGGGGGCATCAACTTGTGAGCCGAGGACTTGCACCGCGGCGGGGAGGCCGGTTAGAGCAGGCTGGTGTTGAGGGGTGAGCTGGCCTTGCTGTGCAGGGGCCTGCTGGCCGTACGTTGCGGGATTCGAGTTGAATCCACCGAAGTGGGAGGGAGGAGTTGGTGCAGTTCCAGCGCTGAACTGAGGCTGCTGAGGAGTCGCCGCGACTGAGGGGCTCCCAGAGACAGGTGGCTCTTGGCTAGCCTGGTGGGATGGCGGCTGGACAGATGAAGGGTTGGATTCGCCGGTCTTGACAACGAAAATGGTAAGAAGTATGCGTTGAGTAATGGGGACTTCCAGTGAGATGTTTTCCAGCAGCTCAATGAACTCGGGCATCGTTGTGGTGCCGATCTCCATTGGGACAATGTAGGTGTCTTTAACAGCGGACAGCGGGTGCTTTCCAATGACGCCATAACGGCCACGACTATGGAAGTAGTCAAACATTTTGTCGAAGCCTGCTCGATCCGTGGGCTGATCAGGACTGCTAATTGCTATCACAGACACATCGGTAGACTTGCTGAACTGAAGGCCACATAGATAGTCAGTTGCTCGTCTGATATCGATACGACCATCAACAACCAAGGTGGCGGGCGCTAGTTGACTCCATGGGATTCGGCCACTCAAGTCCGCGCCTCCCACATGCTTCGCGGACGAGGAGAACTCCCCGATTGG